GAAAGAACGTTTACTTGTAAATTACATTAATCTTAAGTTCAAAGCTATCCACTTATTCTGACTCGGTTTACAATGATTGAATTTGTTTTCCTTTCTCACAAAAAAGAGCTTAATCAACCTTAAGTCTAGATAGAAACTTTTTTTAGACTTGCTACTCGATACTTTTTTTCTTAGAGGAATTGATGTATAATATTGTTGTTACTTATAAGCAAATCTCAATGACCTGAGTGAAGAAACGCAATTACTCCTACAATAGCAAGCTAGATGTTTTTTTTTTTTTAATTTTTTTTTATAAATTTTTTTCTCACAATCCTATTGAATAAGGTGCTCGCACTCTCCTAGAATTTGATCTTGCCTTACATTCAATATCTATTCAAGCGTGGCTTTTGATGCGATGGTATCCGAAACTCCGCTTAATAAACGTTGATAATTGTAAATATGTTTTTTTATATTTATTGGATTTAGGATGGCGTAATTTCACGTGCGATCGTTCCTGCTTCCCGAGAGATTGCTATTATCCTGTAGTGTTTTCCCGCCTTCGAGACGACCGTCTCGGTGCCCGTGTGGGGGACACCCGCGGCGTCAAGAGACGATTAATTGCGTAGTTGTGTCTCTTATATGCGCTTCAAACAGCCCAAGACCGGCTTACCATGTATATAACTGATATGCTGCTAGAGCAGATATAATTGTGTACCAGGGGAACCTCTTCTCATAACTAGACCCTTTTATGGATTTTTGTTTTTTTAATTGTGCGCTTTTTCGCTCGATTGATTATTTGCAACTTTTTGTTTTTAGACAGATTTAGAGATTTCTTCTAATATAGCGTGGCGCGGTAGAACTTTAAAAGAGGATGTGTTTCCAAGATGAGTAATTAATGCAACGCTAAACCAGAAACAGAGAAAACATTTTTTTCAACCACTGTTCATTTTAAAATATCAAAAAAATTAAGGCTAAATTTATTTTTTCTTATAATTCTTATAGTACTAATATTTTCATCTTAAATTATTCATGTATCAATATAATAAAAAAATTTTCAATATTATATCAGATTTCAATGATAAGATGATTTTTTTTCATTTTTTTTTTTCTTTAAGAAAATGGATCGAAAAATATTTTTTGTGTCCTCGTTAAAAGATAATGATCCTCAACTAACACAAAAAAGTTTTAACGATTCTTTACTTGAAAATTTGCAATGAATGTTTCTAAGCGAATGATTTTGATAAGTTGTATTTATAATTGTATGTCACGCTTACCTATTTCATTAAAGTTGTTGACAAAGAAAAAACCAAAGAATAATACACCATTGGTGCGCAGTGGTCAAAGAATAAGTACCATAACCCCGTAGGGCGTTCTGAAAATGAAAGATCAATTTTCGAAAAAAGTTTCGTAGGAGGCAGAGTTTCAGTTAAATTTTTTCGCTAAAAGGTCGGTATAGATATAGATAGCCTGAGCTAAAAGCTTGTCATTTTACGTCATTCCTTACTGTATCAGTCGGAAAAGTTTCAATGCTTGGCGAGATCATTTTTTAATCGTAGATTAAAAAGCAATCAATTTTTTTTTCATCGTGGCTTAAATAAACTACGTCGCCATTCAATTGTATTGTCTCTAAGTGCGATGTAAATAGTCGTCCTTCGATTTATCGACCTTCCGTCCCGAGCATTTGTCGCAGTAATAGTTGCGTTAAAGGATTTCGTTCGTACGATTAAACTCTTCAAAAAAAAAAATATCAAATAAAATCCAGCTGATTTTATCCGCGCACTTTCGCGCAGTTTTCGACTTTCAAAATTACTAGCACGAAAATAAAAAAATACAACATAAAAAAGAGATAAAACATCGACTCGCGCTTGTTGTTAAACCATATGGCGAAATCTCACTTACAGTTGCCAGTGCAGCTGCAATTATATCTCGACTGCACATCACGTTCAACGCATTGACCTCGCTTCGTAAAAAACAATCGACACAAAAGAGAGGAGATACGTTCGCGGTGCGGTGAAAGGCGCTCTCGCGTCAAAACAACTTCTCTGGTATAAAGCAACTACAAACCGCGAGCCCGCATATATATAACCGTATAATGTTACTGTATATTATTCTAAACTGCGCTCTTACTTTAGAAAGGAGATTTCCCAATACGACGCAAAACGTATGTTATATACATATATATCTATTTTCACATCTATGTTCTATTAATAGTACCCAAAAAGGTTGTGTATGAAAAAAATAGAAGAAAGAAAAGTATGAAAAATGTTTAAAAAGTTACTCACGGTATTGTCGAAGCACGGCTACATAAAAGCCGAGCGATCCCCAGGTCTACATCGTACAACGCTTGCTGGTGCTCTCTGGCCGAAGACAGGAGATGACAAGTTAAGCTCGATGTCGCTCAGCGACGCAGTAAGCCTTGGCTCTCCACCGTAATTCTCTCTGAGTGGCTACAGTTTGGCGCTGTGTTGCTGCTTCCGCAGTAGTCAACTGGCAAATGCAACCCGGACGCCCGAGCGGACCCCTATTTGTAGCTTGAGCGCGGACCTCGACGAGAGAGCGCCTCGCGCCGAACAATCGCTCGCACACTAAGAGACACGTGTGTGTGTGTGTGTGTGAATGTGTGCGCGCGCCGCAGCGCTCTGCTCCGCAGCAACGTTCGAGAACATTCTAGAAGGTACGGGCCGAGACGAGTTGATTATGCGGGGAAAAAACGCGTTTGCGGGCTTCGAGCGAGTGCTTTTGAGTTTCTAGTCCGATCATAACCTCGCGTGGGCAGCGTTTGGTGTTGTTTTCTAATCATCATTCGGCTGTCAAGTTTTATTTTTGAGTGAAAATCGAGTGTGACGCAGTTAGCTTCCAAGCTAGTATTGATCGGCAAGCGCAGCGCCGTCAACACATCACGAGACTTCTAGCACGTTCGCCCAGGCCCGTGCCACCGCTGCCGCTGTGTGCAGTGTTGAGCTCTTCTCTCTCTCCCACCTTCTCTCGCTCGTCTCTTTGTGCCGTGCAGCACACACCAATACACGGACAGACTCAGGTCGAGCCTACTACTACTGTATAGGTGTGTATGCTGCACCGGTAACTGCGTAGTAGATTTCCCAACGACCGGTGCTGGGGTGGCTCTCTGCGCTTTTAATATATCTATATACAACGTCACGTAGACACGCTACTATATATACAATAATACTATGGCCCGATCGAGCGACTCCGAAGAGGCGGAATACGACGAGAACGACTACGATTGCGAGGACGAGTTCACCGACGAGGAGGATTATCATCAGCGTCAACGTCGTGGTCAGCACCTCAATGGCGACTCGACCTACGAAGACCCGCGAGCGGCTATGGTGGCCTCGCCGCCTTCGACTACGGCTCAACAGCAGCAGTACCCGTGGGCTGACGTGCTGTTCATGATTGGCTTCTTTCCGATCGCGGTCAACGCCGCTACGTACGCTCTGGTTGTCGCCTTGAATCATCTGGTCGACAGCGTCTGGTCCGAGGAAATCTGATGGGGTCAGAAAGAGCCCAGCAAGCAGCTCTACGAACGATGCATTGTTGCCGTTGCCGCTGCCGTCGTTATTTAGGCTTGGCTCCTTCTTTGCACAACGCGCGGCGTTAAAGGGGCATATGTTTGTTATCTATTGTATTAAGCTTGCTACTGCTGCTGCTGCTGAATGCTGTTGATGTCTTTTAATGCTCGTGTACTGGCCACCGCTCGAGACATACGAACGTAAACATAGATACACAAACACAACGAACGATCTCGAGTGGGGGCGAGAAGAGCAGAGGAGAGAGAAGAGAACGTTTCTTTGACGTTTATCTCTCGATCCGTTTAAATGCGTAACACATTATATTATATAGATAAGGCTTGTTATCATAGGCAAAAGATGTTGTGTTTACATTTTTGTTACAGTCTAATAAGCATTTAAATAACATATAGTTATACAATAACGAACGTTTGTAAACACTACAGTGTCTTTTTATAGAGAAACAAATATGCAGCTAACTTACATAGATGCATTTATTTTGATAATGGTTAAATATAAGCGTATTTTTACCAAAACACAACGAGTTGTTTTCTTCCTTATATCTATTATGTATATCTCAAAACGTTCACACACTCATCGTATAATATACCAATATAAAGTTTACTCGTCTCTATTACATCGGAGCGGCAATTATCATATCTGGCAAACAACTATACGAGGAGAAGTAATTTTTGTAAGTGCTTATGTATGTAGCATGCTTTATGCGAGTGTATAAGAATCTCTCGAGGTCGTCGAGCTAGAGCGAAACAAATATTATTTTGGAAGATTCGCAGATTCAGAGAAGTGCATTATAGTATTATACGCTATATAACGATGCAGCGTTGCAGAAACTAAAAATATCTCGTCGTGCCGCCGCGCGTAGCAGCACAACAGGCATAGCAGGCAGGCTCCAATCGCGCGACGCGATCGTCAACGCTCGCACAGCAGGTCAACTTTGTGAATCATAATACGCTGCTGTTGCATATGGGCACATTAACTCATTAGCTGGATAATCGGAGAGACGCGATCGAAAAAAAGTCTGTTTGACAAATATAGAAGAGCAAGAGCAGCATGAACATTTTCTTGCGTGTCAGAGGTGCCTCATCGAAACGAAAATAGCCCCGATAAATAGCCTTTTCTGAAAACTTATCGGGTGCAGCAAAAAAATATAAAAAGAGAAGAAGTCAATCGAGTTTTTTTGCAAAGCGAGCGATATGAATATGTGCCTTTGGTAATTCTCTCTGCCTGTTAGTGCGAACCGGTTAATTCGTAATATATATAATACGTACACACACGCACGCACCAGCGTAATATAATGCACGATCTCTTAGAGGGACACAATGTGGGTCGTGAAAAAGATATTTTTAGCAAGTGCATACAACCACTTCTTTGCCATGCTACTTGCCAAAAACAAAAATCGATAAATAATAAAGACGTACAAGATTATATTTTATATTATATTGAAAGAGAATAATTGCCTGGTCGTAGGCGACCTTTCTGCGCGGTAATTTAGAAACGATTTGTTCTGTTGTATACGATATTTCCGGTTTTTTTCAATAAAAAAATGTCATAGATCGTTAGAAATGGGTTTATCATTCGGCTGTTTTTTATCGCTAAGAGTTCACTTCCATTATTTATGCCGAAATAAAATGAGTCCAAACGAGGTATTCGATAACAAATATTTTAGACACAACAGGACGCTACTGAAACAAGTCGCGCTTTGGCCCTATGCGTCGACGTCATCGAAAGTTGTCAAGAGAATATTCATTATTGTATGCTTTTATTCCATGAGTTTGCCGCAGGTGCGTATAATTCGATGAATTGAGCTCAACGTAAATTTACGCTTAACGTAAATTTGTAGAATTAAGTTTGCATTAGTTTTGCACTTTACAATTATTTTAAAATTTTTAAATAAGGCGATTCGGGGTATTGAGGAAATTGTATCAGTTAATGTAAATCAAGAAATAGTCATCGAAAACTTGACTGGTTTCTTATATTTTCATGCAGTAATAGCAAAAGTTATAACTCAAATTGTCACAGAAAAAAGGGTAAATTGAACTTCAAATGATCAACGAAAAAATGTCACTTACATGTCGTTCGTTTATGTTGCAGTTGAAATACCTGTACGAAGAAATTTCCAACGATTGGAAAATAATCACTGATAAAAGAGAAAAGGCTGTTCTCGAAAAATCAGCTGCCGTTGGTCGAAATTTGACTCTCGCCTATACTGGTTGCTTCGATTTTCTCAAAATTTAACTTGCACAATATAGTTTAATTTTACTCGCTCATAATTTATCTTGAAATGATTTAAAAAATATTATAGTGGTTGTAAAGCAAATGAACTAAAACTTGGCCGGAAATTTTTTTATATTAATACTCGATTTGTGATTATTTAACCGCGAAGGAATATAAATCAATTTTTTTTCAGGATTCGTTGTCATCAGCGCAATATTATTCATATCGATAAATGCATTTGTCCCAGTTTTGTTAAATTACATTTTGCCAGGCAATACAACTTACCAAAAACAACTATGCATTTATGCCGAATACTTTGTGGATCAAGAAAAATATTTTTATTATATTTTTACGCACACTATGATCATCGGTGTAATGACAGTTTACGTCGCAACTACCATCGATTGTGTTTTCGTTTGTTGCGTTCAACACGTTGTAGGCTTATTCAACATCATAAAGTTAATATTCTTCGTAAAGTTCTTTATTTCAATATCAAGTAGATTTTATTAGAAATAGTCGAAAGCTGGTCTCATATACACTAAAAACATTTAATTTAGGATCAAGTTATTTTCATTTTAAAAAATGAATGTGTGATAATTGGGGTTATTTTAACCCTAAATTCTACTTGATATCAGAAAGGTTTTATAATTGATGTAAAAAATTAATAAATGCTTTCCTGGGTTTTTCCAGATACCGTTTGAGAGAAATTAGCAGAATATACGATACTGCTGTGAATGAATCCATAATCGATTTGCACTTTGACGCGAAGAAATATTTAATTAACGTTGTTGAGATTCACAAAAAAACTCTCGAGTAAAGTAATTTTTAAATATATTATTTTACTAAATTTAAAAAAGTATGATTATGAATTTTTTTAGTTTAGCTGAGCTCATCCAAAATACCTACAATGAGTGCTTTTTTTTACTTACTATATTAATTGTTGCCGGATTAGCCACTTTTACTTATGTTGTAAGTAAGTAGTTAAAAAAAAATTAAAAGAGATTTATCTTTGAATTGTTTTTTTTATAGTTAGCTGAAAATGTACATAATCCACTAAATTTTATGAGGATTTGGTGTTTATGGTTTGGCGCTATCGTTTACATGTTTTTCGTGAATTTACCAGGTCAAAAATTATTAAATATCAGCGAAGAACTTTTTCTGGCACTGTGAAGTTCAAAAATATTACGCTTTTTAATTTTATAAATTTTTTCTAATACAGTTAATTTATGCTTTCAGTTATAATAGCAGTTGGCACAAATTTCCAATGAAAACACGTTTTATAATCCAAGTGATGATGATTCGTTGCTTGTCACCGTGTCGTTTGACAGCAGGCCCTTTGATAGAAATTAATTTTCAAAGCTGCAGTAATGTAAATGTTTCGTCAATTAAATACCTTTTGTAAACGATTGATTAAATATTATTAATTTATCTTTAATTGCAGCTTCTTAGAATGGCATTTTCATATTTTACCGTTGTAAATTCAATGAATAGTTGAAAAAATAGACAAGTTAAAGCTTCATTGTGCAGGTTGATTGTTAATGAAAACAACTATTTTTTATTTTCAGTTATATCATTCTCGAAAAATGAATGAAAAATGTAGAAGAACGTTTTCCTTTATCAAAAAGTAAGTCAACAAAGTTGAAAACAAAAAAATCGAAAAAAAGTTCCCTATACATAAATTGCAAAATAAGTTCTGGCTTCATCAATACCACAATCAACAATAGATACAGTTTCATTCAACGCGATTCCAGCAGCTTTTTTGAAATTTTGTTTTGCACATACTGATATTTGTAAAGGCATTCAATCTAGTTTACAAATATGTAAACTAAGTTATTCTACGATATGCTGTACATTTTAAAAATGCACCAAGTATAGTGGTAACGCAACGACAAAATCAACTGCGTAGATAGAGCACAAATGCTCTTGATTTACAATAGTTAAAATTCGTTTGTTAGCCCGTGACAGCGTTCCATCACGTACACTTCTACTGCGTCTAATTCTCTTTTCTTTTTTCGATTTTTTTATTTTATCATTTCAACATTTTTAAAAAAATTTTCAGCATTGAATTTAGACTACGAAGACCAATGAAAATGCTCGATTATTCCAAAAACCATGATACATCGGCTTCGTGCACGTGCCCAACGACGGGGGCCAACAAAGAAACGCCGTAAAAAACCCCCATCCTTTCACAATCTGCCTCGTGTCGACTCTATAGCTAGCGAGCCAAAGAAAAAAACAACAACAGCCGTTACGTCTATTTTACCCAGCGACGAGCATCGTCGTGGCAACGTATACTACTAGCCCATCGGGAACGTAAAAACCCAAAAATCATTCCCCGAAAATGTACCTCGGGCAAGTCCATCGTCTCTGCGAGTATCTACGCTCGTGGATATTTCTAGATAATACATGGGTGCGGTGCTGCACGGCACGTTCCATATAGCCGGTGCGCGCAGCCGAGCTCCAACCGGCCGGTGAGACGCGCATCTGCAACAGCGCATCGTGTTGGTAAACACGCAGCAGCAGAGGCCGCACAGAGCGCAGCTGTCAGCTTACATACATATATATACAGCAACGGCACGAACACACGCATATATGTATAGTACACGTTTCACATACGTATATATGTATATAGAGCTATTCGCGCCCACAAGCGACGAGGACTGCTGCTGCTGCTTCTGTGCAGAAAGTCACGTAAGCCACTCTTCCTAATCGATGATGAACTCGCAGCAACTTCGCCCAAGCGACGAGTTGCTATGTATGCATTCTTGACCCTTTTTTGCAATGCAAAAGTGCTTCTCGAGTGCTCCGGGCGACTCTTGAATTGGCTATCAAGAAGTATGACGCATAAAATAGGATCAAATTGTTGAAAAATTTTAAAGCTTTTTCATAGTCCTTTTATAAACGTTGCAAGTCTAAGATTAGATTCTACGCAACAACGATTTTTTTCTTTTCATAAAAAGGGTTTAAAAGAGGAGCGTCCAGATATATTTTTTTCCTTCAGTGAAACAGTACATCGAGTTCTCGGATGAAGTTTATAAACGGCGCTCGCAGATAACAATTAGCCGGCAACAATCGATAAATATAGAATCGGCTGTTTATATCTCTGAGCACGTTTTACCGGCACATAACGCGAAAACATTGACAAAGGTCACGATATATTAAAGTTGGCTAAATCCTCGAGGCGATCATCGCGTTATAATTGCACTTACATACGATGCGGTCATCGATGCGCGCATTTACGAAAGGGTCGAGCGTATAAATACTAGCGATCGTATGCGGGTCATTCAAGAATTTTTATTATACCGGTGTGCTCTTGAATGAAAAAAAAAATAAATAAAAATAAATTATAGGTAATGTAAAAAAACAGAAAAAAGATCCAAGGTTTTTTCTTTAGATCTGTATACCGATATTCGCGCTGTGCTTTCATCATCTCGAGCTACCCGGGCACACGCAGGAGAGACGAGACCCGGTGCACACACACATACACTCATACACACACGCACACGAACTCAGCACAAAGCCGGGGCTGAGCGCTGTTATATATATATAGCCCATACGCAGAGCGATCAATACGCGGTGCAGAGAAGAGCGGTAGCACAGCGCTGCTGCTGTTGCCTGCTGCTGCCTGGAAGCCAACCGACCGAGTTGTAAGACGCAAATGGAAGTCCTGACCCTTTTATACGCTTCGTACTGCGTAATACCGGTTTTGCGTTCTATTACGCCTTCGTGCTTGAGCTCGTGTTATGTATCGCTGCCGAGAGCGAGGATACGCTTATGATTGTTATTTTGTAGCGACAGCATAGTGGAGGACGAGAATCCGATGATGCGACGTGCAGGTTTTGATTGCGAGGAAAGCTAATACACTTGGTGAGACACACACGTGTGTGTGTATATCTTTTCTTTTCAAAAAGCTGAGAGTGTAGGATTGGCAACAACAAAAATATCGCGTAGCGTGGGATTTGTACATTCGAACGATCAGCATTCTTACAGAACATGCATAGCAATCATTCGTCAACAGTAAAATATAACAGCTGTCGCAGTTTGGAAACGAAATTTTCTTGAGCAGGATTCTTCTTTGTTTGAATGTTCGAATTCAGCTTATCAAATTGTCAAATTTTTTATGGCTCTTATTTTTTTTTTTTTTTGAACTCATACGCCTTCCGTTGTCAATTCTTGAAAATTGTTTAGGCATTGAAGCTGGTACAAATAGGTATTAAAAACCAAAAGAAACAAATGAACAAACGAATTTCACCATATATCTTCAACTTTTATCTAAAAAAGGCATTGAGGTTTCACTGCTCTAGGCAGCCTGTTCAGGACTTAAAATTTTTGTTCGTATTGTGTATAATATACGGGTCAATTCATAAAATATAATACGTACAACCGTACATATAACTGTACTAGCAAAAATTGACTTTCCTCTTCTTTATTTACATTTACGTATAATACGCTTGTTTTTATTTTCAATTATTGATTGTGCAAATTCAATTTATTTCGTTCCAAAGTGAAAAGAATCAAGTTGGTAGCAAAACATTTAAAGCTATCATTTGACCTGATACTGATTATTTCACGTACCAATTCTCACTCACTTCTCGTTCTTTCTGTATCATAAATTCTTATAAGCATGAAAATCACGGTAATACATGAACGCAACGTGTACGAATAATTCCAGAACGAAAACCAGAAAAAGAAGGCATCATCGTTCCGCCATGATCGGGAATCTTGGCAACACCGGCTGCGAGAAGTATATACATCTATAGAAGCATACGAAGCAGCCGCCGCTGCCGGGTGACCGAGCGGCACTCGTCGAAACAAGCAGCGACAGGAAAAAAGTCCCCCTTCGACGAATCTCAACAAGCTTTTGATATGTAATAGGAAAGAAAAAAATTGAATGAAGTTTTTAGGTCGCCGAGCACTGGTTGACATTCGAAAAATAACGTAAGGGCTCGTAATCTTTGTGCCCCGAAATACCCGAGCGGGGTATACGTGTTTGTGTGCGTGTGTGCAGTATACTTGTATAAACGCATACAGAGTTACGCGCAGCTTCGCTAGCTCTGGAAATTTCCACTGCGCAATTGCAACTATATACTACCCTAGAATTGAATGTATAAGGATGAGTCTATATCGAAGCAAATGAGTCAAATATTTTGTTTCGATAATTTCGTGCGAGTATTGTTCTTCAGTGACGTATCTGCATTTTATGAATCTCAAGTCAGTCTTTCGTGACTTTTAAAAAACCTTTAAATGTATTTTTACAAGAAATGGTCTAGATTTTTGGAAAAAATACTTCAAAAAGTTTGGATAAATCGGATTAGATGCTTCTAAGCAAATTAAAATAATTTAGATCTACTCAGCTAACGTTCGGGTTTTTATTAATAAAACCTCAGAAAGATTTTTCACATCACCTAGAATAAAAGCTATATTTTAATAAGGCACAGGTCTGAGGCACGAAGAATGAGAATCGAATAGATTCAGTTTTCTATTATAATCTTTTTTACATGAACTTATTTAATCATTCGGTAAAAACTTAATTCATGTTAGTTGAAATTATTTGTATAGGTCATTCGATTTGACATAGAATCGGCCATATTTATGTAAGTAAGTATGAACTTTGGCCGAGGAGTACAGTACTGCCATCATTTCACAAAACTGCAACAATGTGACTTGTATGGGATACCGGTAGAGTAGATCAGTTTGTTATTATTTGCAGATAAAGAACAGTTCAATATTACCGACAAAGCACGTCAAGTTTATTTAATAATTAGTTTTATTTTTGAAATCAGTCTCCATGGTAATTTTAGTATTGTTCAATTGAAAGACATACTTAAATTGAAAGTTTCAGATATTTTCAACCCATTTTTCTGAAAAAACCGTTTGATGAAATGGTTTAAAATTTTAAGCAGATGTTCTTAAAAACAATGCAAAGGCCTTATAACAGTCTAGTCAAATTAATTTTTAAAATGTAAAAAATAAAATGCTAAACAATAAAATTTCAAATAGTATCTTAAAAAAAATTTTAAATTAAAAAATCAAATATTCCAAAAAAACGGCAAAAGATGATGCCTACGTCACGCGGGGTTCCCAGGCGGTCACCCATCCAAGTACTAACCGCGCTCAACGTTGCTTATATTCGGTGATCGGACGAGAACCGTAGCTTTCAACGTGATATGGACGTAGACATTAGAACGAAATACGGAGTAAAACAAATTTCAGAGTACATTTTATTCTATTTTTTTTGGGCATGGTGTAATTTGAAGCTTTCAATGCTTTTAAAAAGTTTAAACACAAAAACTTTCAACATGTGTAAATATTCTATAATATTCTTGATTTGTTTGAGATATGTATTGAGAAATGACTCGTTATAGAATTTTTACCAATATCCTTGTTGAAAAAAATGACGTATATTTCGGATGTCTTATTCGGACAATATAATTAACGTTATTAATGATTTCAACTTCAAGACAACAGAATCTACCAAAAAATAAATCTTGTGTTTTTTTGTTTAACGGAGTCAACAAATTAGAAAAAAAACTCTATCTTTTTTTATATACTTGATTACTAATCAAATTTTCTTGATGAGATGTAATTTGCATGTATCATCATTGGTTTTTACTTTTTACAACAATTTTTCTTCTGCAAGAAGCACATCCTAGAAATGCAACATTTTTTCACCATTGGTGTAACGCTTTTTCTCATATGCCATGTCATTTGCCATGAATTGCCATTAAATGGCCATTTTTTATGAAAAAAGCCTTACACCAATGGTGAAAAAATGTTCCATTTCTACCAGGGCAAACTCTTTTTCTATTTTCGCCATGATTACATTTATGGTCATGATTTTGAGGCATTTTGGACTCACTTGCATATCCTAATTAATAGTTAAATGCTCTATCGTAAATGATATAACTTTGAGTAAACATTTAAAAACAATAATTTGATTAATTACTTTTTGTGATGAACTCGTTAAACTTTGAATGATTTTGCAACGGTTATTGAAAAAAAATGAATTCTATAAGAAGTAAAATATAAAAATACTCATCTCGTTTCATTTATCTTATCAATTATATTTTATCACAATGAGTAATGTACGATTTTTGCACTACAACACGAGTTATCAGTGTACTCAATTGCTACGTGAATTATGTAACAATCAACAACGGAAGCACTCTACAATGCACGGCTTTAAATCGAATTCATCATAAATCTGAATGATTCATAAATTATTAATTCAATATTTACATTCATGACTTCGATTATACCATTATTATAATCATCATCAGTGGACAGATTCCTCCTTCAATCTTTTGAATCGCGCCCAAACGCCACCCTTGGCGTAGGCCAGAAACGACGTGCGATCCATCTCCAGAGGCCAGGGTGACTTTGCCGACGGCGCGACGCGATATCTCAGCAGCAGCGTCGCCGCGGCGAGCTTCACCAGCATCAGTCCGAGTCGCATGCCCACGCACATGCGCGGTCCCTCGCCGAACGCCAGGAACAGATACCTGTTGCGCTCGGCCAGCTGCTCGGGGCCGAATCGATCGGGCCGAAAGGCCTCCGGCTCTGACCAGTAACGGGGGTCGTTCTGCAGCGCCATCGCAGGTATCATGACGCCGTCGCCCGGGCGCAGTCGGCACTCGGCGCCGTCCTCGCCCAGCAGAGTCGTCTCGCGACTGCATCGCTTGTAAAGCGCCGGCGCCGGGGGTATCAATCGCAGTGATTCGTAGACCGCCTGCTCGAGGTAGCTCATGGCCTTGAGCGACTCGTAGGTGATCGGTTTGCCGCCACTCACGTCGCGCACGTGTCGCCGAATCTTGTCCTGCTCCTCGGGATTACGCGCGAGCTGATAGACGAAGAAGGCCAGAGTCAGGCTCGACGTCTCGTACACGTCCGTGTGATAGATCAGCAGGTCGGCTATGATGCTCTCGATGTCGTTCTCGTCGTTGGTGTCCAGGACGAATTGCAAAAAGTCGTTGGGTTTTCGAGGCTGCTCCCGGCGATGTTTCAGTATGCTCAACAGCGTCTCGCGGAAAAAGTCCTCGGCGCTCCGGGGTAGGAAGCGCACGTCGGCGAAGCCCGCGAGCTCGGGCAGAAAGAACACTACGGCTTGCTTCACGACGTTGACCAAGCCCGGCTCGAAGAGGCCCTCCGCCACCACGTGAAACGAGCCGGGATCTCGCTCGTCGGCGAAGCACCGACCCTCGACCTCCAAGGCCGAGTTGGCCACCATTTCGCCGGTGTAGCGCACGAACAGTTTCTTCAGTTCGGGCTCGTACTCTTGCACCTTCGACTCGGCGAGTCGCCGCTCGATGAACGCCGTCATCATCTCGCACACGTTCCGAGCGATCGCAAACAGATAGCTCAACTTTTTACCCGACAGGTGGCCGACGACCCGTGCTCGTTTCTCCCGCCAGGCCTGCAGATCGTGAATGAAGAATGGATTCTTGGCCAGTATCGCGTCGGTCTTCGGATTGATTTCGCGGCCGTTGTGATGGAAACTGGCAAAATCCGACTGCAGTACCTGCTTGACGAGATCCGGGTCGCGCAGAACCAGCATGGGCTTGCGCATGAAGTAGATGCCCACGGCGCTGGCGTCACCCGGAGCCTCGTGATAGGCCCGATTTGCGAGATACTCGAGGCTCTCGTGCATCAGCAGACTCGGCAGCATGTGGCCGACCCCGGGCCAGCAGCCCGGCAGCGTCGGCACGTTTTTCTGCTTGGCCCAGTGGCCGTGGGTACGCGTGAGATACCAGTAGAGACAGGTGAGCGCGAGAATCGCGCCGAGCAAGAGCAGCATCGTGACGGTGCACGCGGCGGACTGCGCGAAGTCACTGCAGCTATGTCATGCTACACTCGCAAGATTAATTGCAATCGTGTCGAGTGTGCGTGTGTCGAGTATTGTTGTATATCTGGGATCTACTCAATGACGTGACGATTTTATATAGCGATGCTATTAAGGAAAACTAGCATGTTTACATTGAAAAATGTATAGCAACGCGCTAATCTTCCTTAACAGCATCGATACACGATTTATCACGTGCATCAAAGTCATCAAAGTTACTTATTATATTTTTCAGCGTATATAGCCGATGCATATCGTTACTCGTATCATCATAATGTGCCTCTCATCCCCATCCTTGAGAAAATCAGAACCAAATAGCGGCATTATAATAATAATACAAACTTCACTGCATACTCATGTAGCTTTTCACGAATGTGTACAGTAAAACAGAGGTATTTTTGTGAAAAATGTAACCAGGACAATTATTTATGAGGAAGCTCTTTGCCAATGTATTGGCAGCAGATTTTCTTTTTGGCCAACTTTTATCCACACATGCGTAACGAGCTACGTACTATAATATACTTGCACATATTTCTTCTAATTATTATTTGATCATTATTATTTATGATAGATCGTAATAAGAAGCAGTTTCGAATTTGAAGCTCTTATATTCATTAATTGTAAGTTCTAAGGAATCTAGTGATGGGCGCGAAATTTGTTTTGGTTTTCATTCGCGTACACTAATAAAATTATAACATTTCTTTTTGAAAATTAAAGATAAAAATAATGTAATTGTCAAAAAAAGCAAAAAGATGTAGTATTTACGTCACGCGTGGTTCCCAGGCGGTCATCCATCCAAGTACTAACCGCGCTCAACTTTGCTTATATTCGGTGATCAGACGAAAACCGCAGTTTTTTTTTTTTTTTTTTATTAATGATAAATATTTATTTATGTTAAAAAACTTGAACAATACAGTTGGTAATTAAACATTTACACAAAACCAGTAAGGTTACTTTTTTTTTACACAGAGTGGCTTAACGTTAGCACTCACTGTGATATTACATAAGGCTAGGTATTACAGACATTTGACGATTTATGCTTATGTGTACTAGACTGGAAGCAAAAAAAAAATTTTTTTTATTTCGCCCGGACCAAACGAAAAAGTGATCTATGTACCAAAAAAATAGTCTGTGCAAAATTTTAGCTCATATAAATTGAGATAACCCGTGCCGCCAGTCGCTTGAAGGTTTTTAAATTCGATTTAAATTAATTTTTACCGCTCCTTTACAGCGATATTCAAATGGCTCTGTAGCCGTCAATTTTCAAGCAAATAAAACTTCGAACCCGTCAAATTAAAAGTCTTGAAAAGACCTTTAATTTGCTTTTTTCAAAATTTTGATTGCTTCAAAATTAACTGCTGTAGAGCCGTTTGAATATTGCTAAAAAATAGAAAAAAATCGAAATTTTTCTATTTTTCTAATAGCTGAAGTTCACTCGGAGAAACACCAATTTTTCCTAAACTCCGGGGTATTCTTTCGTGTGGAATAAGCTAAAAAATGACGTAAGTTTCGACCAGAATATTGCATCCAAGCTCCGTACAGCGGCATTTTAAATATTCAATTTTTTCGTACTTTTTTTTCTTTCATCCGTCTAATAATTACACGCTTTTTATTATGAGAACATTCACAAAATACTGAAACATTTTCCAAATACTACTGATGATTAAAAGCATCTGAAGACCTATCTTTCAAGCCCCCTAATGAGCTTATAGGTGTCTCGGAGTTAAATCTACAGCCAAATTAAGAATATAATCATTAACGAAGTTGAAAAAGAGAATCGCGATTTCACAACGATAACAGAGTTGAACATTTTTTTTTCGATCACCCACAAAAATTGTTTGTAAAAACGAACGTTTTTATGCCCCCAGAGTCAAAAACAAAAATTGCAGGCTTGAAAACTCGTCGATCACGGACACTTTATTTTACTATTACGATTTTCGTTTGCAACTATTGTTATAGCCAAGCTGCAATTAGGACTTGAATATTCTACGGGTAAAAATCGAGTACCTAAGTTCTGAAAGATGACCCTCGTATAGTTAGAGAGGTCAAAATTACTGTCTAGCACGTTTACTGCACGGAGAGAAGAAATATAGTAATGATTTCTTAAAAATTTGGAAAAATTACTAAAGGTCTTAATAAAAGTGTGATATCTTTGACGTTAGGGTGAAAAGTTGCTATAAAATGTATAAAAATTATAAAAAATGAAATAAAAATTGAGAGAAATATAGTAAAAATTACAAAGGATTTTAGTAAATTTTTCCCTAACCTCGAAGATGTCAAACTTTTATTAAGACCTATAGCAATTTTTACTATAAATTTTTCTCCGTGTGGCACTATATTTGTAATGATGTAACATTTCACATCATTTAAGGACACATTTGTTACTTATGTACAATTGTTTTGAAACTATTTAAGATGACAAGTGATGAAAAAAAACTTTGTTTAGGATGTATAGAATAAGGCAAATGTTCCACAATATTGCTGAATATTTGTAAAAATGTTTTTAAAGAGTGAAAACAATCGATTCTGAGTTCAGGACAGGTCCAGGAGGGGACATTTTGTGTGTTTATCCGGCTGGCAAATCAATGTGGTCTTTTTTGATGGAAATTTTATAGTTGCGTAAGGTTAAATTCGTTGAAATGAAAGGTTCTGCCGTCTTAGTTTTCATTTTTTAAAAGTTTTCTAATAGCTACAATAACAAGACATGTCATATCACGCTTTTGAAATAATGCACCATATACTGTTTTAAATACCGAGTAAAATAAATGTCCGAGTAAATTTATTATATCTTTTTGAATACAAGAACTTTTTTAATAAAAAAAATTCCAAAACGAGAGAAACCTATAAAAACTGACCCTTTGAACATGGCTCATTTTCCAACAATGATCGTCAATAAATATCATTTACTTGTATTAATTTATTTATCATAAATTATATCTAATTCTAACTTTCAGTTATTTAATTATTAGTACATAAAATGACTATCTATCAAGTTGTTTTATTGTAATTATAAAGGGGGGGGGGGGGGANTAAAGGGGGGGGGGGGAATTGAAATTCAAAAACAATCAAGTAAATAGTGCTATTAACATTTTAGAAACTTTCCCAGCAATATAATGAATGCTTGATAGAAATTTGAAAGCGATCAGTTGGATAGTTTTTGAGATCATGAAGGACAATCAGATATGAACTACGTTTTTTATTTATGGATTCATTGGAATATTTATCATCTCAAATCGGCGATGGAATAATTTTGGATTCCGAATTTCCTAAAAACGGGTCAAGTCGCAAGTATTTGAAAGATCTCGAAATTATAAATACTCGATGCAGTTTTAGCTTAAAATGAATGCGCCAAACATGATTGTCAATATTGAAATGCTCATCGTCGCTTATATTCATTAATAATAATTTTTTAGGGCTTTGAAATAACTTTAATAAGATGACAAAAAAAGCACTAAAAGTCTTCAATTTTAACAAGCTCAGAAAATTTATGTTGCTCCGTAATCTTCTCAATTGTCTACGTCCATATCACGTTGAAAGCTACGGTTCTCGTCCGATCACCGAATATAAGCAACGTTGAGCGCGGTTAGTACTTGGATGGGTGACCGCCTGGGAACCCCGCGTGACGTAGGCGTATCATCTTTTGCCGTTTTTATGAAATATTTGATTTGTTTTTTAATTTAAAAATTATTTTGAAGCAATAGTATACTATTTGAAATTTAATTTTTTTCTTAGAGTTTGTACGACACTAGGACTGCAATCTACTTCGTAAGATAAAATAACGCTTATTTTACATTAAAACTTGTTCTTTTAATTGTATTTCAAGTTTGCATTACAAATTCGCTGTTTATCTTTTCATAATTTACATTTTTAATTACTTTTTGAGGACGGAGAGGGGGGGGGGGGGGGGTAAATTTTTTCAATTCAATATAGGCTTTTTTGATATCATGGCATGTATTTTCAACTAAAACAAGATGTTGAGTAGATCAATTTAAACTTATAAGCTCCAATAAAAAGCCCAAACAGGTTTCTGAATAAAACCAATCATTTGGTTAAGAAGAATGGATTGAAGGGCTTTCGATATTTTGTAAAAAAATAATTTTTAAATACTATTTCAATAATGAGCAAGAAAGTTTTTTCCAAAAAATTTCAATATTGAAAAAAAACATTTTTCAGAACAATTTATCGCCTTCACGTTTTATGCACATCATATTTTGGTCTTACCACCGGCAAGAATTTCCTCAAGTTTAATTGTTATTATGAATTCTCGTTTTACCTTTCATCGATGAATCGAGGTAAAAAGGGGTTACGATGTTGCAGGTCTTTGCAACAGTGAAAAACTTCAGAACCTATAACATGTAATTGAATGATACAAAGGCGCATCACGGGTAGGTAAGAATATGCTCTAAAGCATAGCAAACATTACACAAGCAAAAAAACATCGTGTAATTAATATCGGCAAGACTGTCAATAAGCGCAATACACCCTTACAATCAATTTTTTAATTGCCGAGTCAGAACACTCTTCGTCGATTTCATCGACTACGTGTAACGATTCGCAAAATACGCGTAAACGATGTCGTCTTAGCATCTCGACATTAGAAAACAAACTAAATAATTCGCCAACAAAATAAATAATTAGCTACTTTAAAAAATGTCTTCGGTATCTTGGCATTCGGAATATGCCGTTCAAATGTGCCGCTATTTTCTTCGACCGATCGGTCTGTGGGTGACCAACGAAAATTCATGGCGAGAAAAGTTTTTTAATAAACTTTTAACCGTGTCGACGTTCTCACTTCTATTGTTCCTCTTGATACCATGCGCGTTGCACACTTTTTTAGAGGAACCAAACATCGCCGTGAGAATGAAACTCATCGGACCAATGAGCTTCGCGGTGATGGCGATAATCAAGTACTCGTCGTTGACTCGCCTCACGAAACGCCTCGAAAAATGTTTCAAGTCCGTCGAGGAGGATTGGAAAAGCTCCGACTCTGCAGAAAGAAAGGTGTATCTCTTGAACTATTTACTCTCTCGGTGATAGGGTATAATGAAATTCGCTGCGAAAAATTCTCCAGGTATTGCATCGTCAAGCCAAGATAGGCAGGTTGTTGTCCATCTTTTCGGCTCTGCTGATGTACAGCGGCTCTTTCATCTTTTATCACGTCATCATGCCCGTAGCCGCAGTTCAAACGTTTTCAGCTAATCTAGAAGTGGCCCATGATTCATTGGATATCAACGGAAGCAGCAGTGCCACGAATGAGAAAAAATTGCGAATACTGACGTTTCCCACTTACGAAGCGTGGGTAAATCTCGACGACGAGATCGCGTATCAATTCGTCTACTTGATGCAATGCTTGTCCGGCTTCGTGATGGATACCATAACAGTGGGCACCTGCAGTTTGGCAGCGGTCTTCGTTACGCATACTTGCGCTCAGCTCGAGATCGTGGTCGAGATGTCGCGAAATTACGTCGACAGTCGGAAGAACGATAAAACGCCGAAAACGAGCGCGGAGCGACTGACCGTCTTGGTGAAAAAGCACTGCAGAGCTCTCAAGTAAACGCGACAAATAGTCGATGAACAATTTCTTTTGTCTTCTATTTTTATGAGATATGTTTCGACGCACAGATTTGCCACTCAAATCAAAGACTATCTCAATGGAATCTGTTTCGTTGAGTTTATCGGCTGCACGGCTAATATCTGCTTCGTAGGATACTATTGCTTGACGGTAATTATAATAATATTGATCGAATTATTTTATTATGTTACCGAAAAATTACATCTGAATTAGGAGCATTGGAAGATATAAAATTGAATTAAAGTGATGAGATAATAAATATAAAAAGATATGCTTGGTAGAAATTCTGAACATTTTATGAATAGTTTTTGACCAATTAGTAAGCTTTTTACACATAAAAGGGCCAGTAGAACTGAACATGAATTAATCAGATTTGTTGCGATTAAATGATAATTTTTCAATAATATAATAGTAATAGTAATCTACTTACAAGGATATTCTATTAGCATAACAATAAGAAATAGGTATTGAGAGAAAAATTCAACTGATAATTGATAATTGAAGTGTTAAAATATTGGTTCAGTAATGATGCTTTAAAGAACGAATTGAAGACGAAGAATAGGTAATATTATAGTGGTTCATGACAAAATGAATGATGTTTAAATATTTTATTGTTTTTCTCAAAATTAAAAGATAAATTTGTGAAAGATTTCCCAAAGTAACTGATATAATTACATAATATGACAATGTCGCCCTAGCGCAGGAAGGTATCTATTATTTCAATAGTATAGCAAGAAGGATACTTACTCGCGCGCAGAGGCAAAAAGGTATCTAACTCGAGTGCAGCGGCAAAAAGGCATCTAACTCGAGCGTAGAAGCAAAAAAGTAGTTTATTCAAACGAAGTGGCAAGAAAGTTTTGACGCGCCGAATTTAGGTTAGCAACGGTGCCGTAAATGATAAATTTTGTTTTGTACTAGAGCATAAAAGAGAAAAAAAATTGAGCTAGTGTAATGATTTTCATCCATTTGTAGTGCGAGGAAACAACTCAATCTCACCGCGATTTCGACTCAATTTGCCACTTATGGAGAACTTTATGTATGTTCTGAGAGGAAAGTAGGGGTTATCGGCTTTACATAACTTTGAATTAAATGTCGAATGCTGAATGTTGAAAGAAAATTTGATCATTTATGGCTGCATTACCAACCTAAATTCAGCGAGCAAAAACTTTCTTACCACTTCGTTTGAATGAGCTACCCTTTTTCTTCTACGCTCGAGTTAGATACCTTTATCTAACCTCGATGTAATCTATGATAAAAATATGTTATTTTACAAAAGTAGATGTAATTATCTTTGATTTGAGCCCACTTAGATATTCTTGCGATGTCCGTAAGTCCCTTTTGTTGTTATTGACAATTGAGGCGTTTTTAATAATCAAATGAACCGATTTCCAATGTTATATATGTCAAATTGAAGGTCTTGCAAGGACCTACAACTTTTGTTTGAAACTTTTTTTCATACAATGTATGGTTTTCAATCTGTAGCCGAAAAACCGATTTTCCTAATTTCAAAGGGCCTAATTGTTGAAATTCCAATCGACTCAACTGTGGCATTTGTTAGTACTTCATTTCTACCATCGAACCCTAACGAATCCCGGTGAGAAACGCTGGTTACGAATTTTTTCACGTTCAAAACTAATTTGACTGGACTATGACTATTTTGTTTAAATGATTTGTGACAAGTATCAGATCCGAAGGGTTTCAGGCAATGACGTACTCCATTTATGGGTCTTTTGAGATGACCGTTAATTCCGAATGATTTGTGACAAATATTAAACTCGAAGGGTTTGATACGTTCATGTACTACATTAATGTGCTTGTTGAGGCCACTTTTATCTCTAAATGATTTGGGACAATTATCACAATCAAAGGGTTTGATAAGATGATGAACTGTATTTATGTGCTTGTTGAGGTTACATTTGTGTCCAAATGGTTTGTGGCAAATCTCACATTCGAAGGGTTTACTGCGATTATGTACTGCGCTCACGTGAATTTTAAGGTGATGTTTTAGTCCAAATGATTTGTGACAAATATCACACTCGAAGGGTTTACTACGATTATGTACTGCATTAATGTGTTGATTGAGGTTTTCTTTTTTACTAAATGATTTGTAACATAACTCACATTCATATGCTCTAATGCCCTTAAGTGGTGAATTGATAAACAATCTGGGATTTGCGTCAAAATGACAATTATTATCATAATCAAATTGTTTTTTTACCAAAATTATCAAATTATCGTTCAAGTAATCAATTTGATTTACGTTTTCTTTTTTTCAATACGTGGATAACTTTGAAACTCAGTTTTGCTGATTGTTTTCGATAGAGACTTCCGTTCAAGTTTAACATATTTGCGCTCCAAATCTATGTATATTTTTTCATATAACGTTTCATTTAAGGCAATAGCCTCATTCAAGGGATTCGCCTAAAATTAAAGCAACAAACAATTAAAATTAAAAGTTTTATTTTGGTGAAAAATAAGAACATAATTAAAATCACTAAACTTACCGTTGTTTCGAAAACCGTGAGCATTGTAACGTTTTTGGTTTCGCTAGATTCTATGGAATCGAAATTGCAATTGTTGCCTGCATCTGACCAAGTATCGATCGGCTCTTCCTTCACTCTGAAAATAATTGAGTTTGATGATGCGATCGCTTTAAATAATATCATGACAAGCACGAAAAAGAATCTAAGCTACTCGTTGGTGATAAGTTCCCCTTTTACCGCCTACTTGCCGTTCCCAGTTATGTACTGCAATAAGTGAAAAACAAAACTGAGAAATTTATCTCTCAACCTACCAGCAGTGCAGTGTATAGTATACTACCTACATGATATTAGAAATGAAGTTCCACAAGTTATTGGAGTGAGAGTGTTAATAAAATAATTTTATAAAATGTATCTCTATACTCTTAAAATGTGACGGCTAGATTATACTTTCAAAGTAAACTTATGATTTTTGGAATCGCTATGCATTGAGAGCGAGTTTTTAAATTCCTAATAATGCGATCAAGTTTCTACGGCGCTTTTAATTATTATAAATAATTATAAAAATCATATATGTTAAAATGACCCAAAAGCGATCGCGAAAGTTCACTCTGTGAGCAGATGCTTCTTATTAGGTGTGAAATAGACATGCACATCAATAGTGCGATGGAAATCGATATCCAGATGAAGCGATGTCAGTTTAGCGGGAAAAACAATGAACTTAGGAATCCGCTATCAATTAGCACCGTCTGCCGTCAGATTCTCACGGACCGCCAGTTGCTGTCAAGTAATTTTACCCCAAAATTATGCAAAATCTGACGGTATATATTCAGGACCCCCGGAGGCCTCTGGGTGATTCGTCTATTACCGTATTCGTTGTGCGGAACTCACCGAATCATCCACCAGACCTACGTATTTTGTTTTTTAGTAGTTGAGTAAGCCTAGGTGTAAGTCAAATTTTTGTATTTGAATATATGAATGCCCGCATATAAATAAATCATAGTTGTGTGCTTGCACCCAGTTATAACGCCTACATATAGCACTCACTTGTACCTATAATCACTCATTGTCACCAACCACAATAAAATCTATATACTTATTTATTAAAGTGGCGTCTCCTCGCATCACGGAGTACTGGCGTAGATTTATGCGCTGAAAAGTGCTAGTATTGAATATTCTAAAACTTTTAAATTGTCAGTTATGGTAATCGTTAAGCCATCGTACATTTTGAGCATTTGTATAATTTATGAAAAATAAAAACTACACGTCTATTATAAATGAATTTTTCATTTATTTCAAACTTTCTAGGAATGGGAGAGAAAAGAACCAATAAGTATGGTCACTTACTTCATCCTCGTGATATCATTCACTTTAAATATTTTCATATTCTGTTTTATTGGTGAACATCTAGCTGAGCATGTAAAACTTTTTATTCAAATTCTAAATTGACTCGTTAATTAATACATTATCAAAATGAAATAAAAATGTAACTGCTGTCTTAGTGCAAACAACTAGATTCTGTTTACATGAATATTGATTGGTACAAATTGCCTGGAAAAGAAGTTGTCGATCTTTTAATGATCATAGCAGTATCTCGAAGGCCTGTCAAGTTGATGGCCGGGAGCTTTGCCGATTTGACACTGATCACGTTTTCCAGTGTAAGTTTCAACTTTATTAACGATCCGTGTGATTAAGTCTTCGGTTAAATTTTTAATTTTTTAGGTAATGAAAACTGCTTTCACATATTTCAATTTACTGAGGACCATAATATGATTATTGTATTCTATTCCTACGTAGTTATTCAAATAAAATAATAATTTCGATACACTCCGAGTATTACTGAAGTAACGTAGTTATTATTTATTATTATATCCGATGGGCTTTACTTATATTTTTAAATTCCATCAAATGCTAGAAATGAAAAACATACCAATCATACGAATTAAATTTGAGCTAACACCCTTAAAACGATGCTGTAGATGTAGAATGATTATACTGTATTTGAGTAATTAAGGTTTCAACGTATATTTTCTTTGTATACACCCTAGTATTATCTTCACATACTGAGAATGTGCCAGAGTAACAGCTAATGGACACCTTTAAATTTCACCTAACGCTCGAACCTATTGAATAAATTAGTCGTTCTTGGATCTGATCTGGCTCATACAATTCTTACCTTTCTGTAAACGAGCACGATGGAAATTTACAATCGAGAATATTTTATGCACAGTAGATTTTTTTTAAAATTGTTCGGTCTGTGGCCCTTTCAAAGCGGGAAATTCAATAAAATTCATCAAATAATGATGATGTTGCCACTTGGCACGCTTTTCATACCTCATGTAAAGAACAAATTTTTCTTCGATGATCAACCAAAATAACAAAGCTAAATTTATTATAAATTTTTTGATTCAGTGCGCAAAAGCTTATGAAACACGACACGATTTTCACATCTTTTTCGTGTGCATCATTAGCTTATTATTTTTTATGCATTACATTACCAAATTCTTGTACTTGTCATTGACAGAAAAACAGGTTTGCAAAGATATTACAAAAATTAAAATTGTTTTCAGGGTGAAAACTGGCGTTTCAAGCTGAAATTTAAACATAGTCATATAAATCGAAATAGTTAAAAATTTTTTTATTATAGTAAAACATGTTTATCGTACACTGATTTCACTTGTTTTGATCGCTATTTCCGAATTTCAGCTCGAAACACCGGCCTGAACCCTTAAAGAAACTAGCTTAAGAACTACCTTTCATGTCATATAGTTTCAACGTATGCTGAAAAAAATAGACAATGACTTCTCGCTCTTTAGTGATCGAAGTCTTCAAATCATCCACGATTATTCGAACAGTGCTCAAAAATTCAACATGTTCTACTCGAGTGAGTAAGCGATGTTTTCAAGACTCGGCATTAATTTAATGAATAATATAATGAAGGAATATTGAAATTTTGCAGTATACCTGATTTCGTCGGTAATAACTTTCAATTTAGGCGTTTTCATGCCCAGAGCACTGGATCTGATCATGCCCCTCAACGAGTCACGGCCGCTGCATCCAATCCGCGCTCTACGCTACTACATAGACGCTTTGGACGACAGTTTTTACTTCGTTCTGTTTCACGGCATGTTCTTCGATATGGTGTCGATCGTCGTGATCGTCGGCTTCGACACTCTACTAATCAATTGTGCTCAGCACGCGTGTGCCCTTTTCAAGATCGCTTCGATGGAAATTCGCGATTGTACCGAAGAGATCAATCAAAGCAACGAGAGGGTTAATTTGCTGACCCAGCGCTCGATGCAGAAAAATATTTATCACCGAAAAATTGTGAAAGCTGCGATTATTCACAAACACGCTTTGGAGTCAGTTTCGTATTTATAATCAAATTTTACGACGATTATAATGATTTTCAAATCCATGCAGGTTTTTCGATGTTCTCGAGTCTACGTATTCTTTGTTGAATTTTTTCATTATAGGAATTTCTTTGAGCACGGTAACTTTAGCGGAATTTGCTGTGAGTACGAAGTAATGGAATCGCGAAGGGAATCTAAAAAAATATAATCGTTGATGTTTTTGTCAAAGATTTTAGATCACGGGAGAGACGCGACAGACGTGATGATGCGATTTGCGTTGCTGGTGGCTGGACAATTTTTAAATATATTGTATCAAAATTATCCCGGACAACTGATCAAAGACCACAGCTTGGAAGTGCATGCTATATGGTTCATACCTAATTTGAAAATTTTTCTCGTTGAACATTTTTGATGAAATAATGACATTTTTATTAAAAGTTGCGAATGCCAATGGTACAAGGACGACGTGCCCGACGAATCAAAAAAGTTGCTCGTCATGATAATGCTAAAAAGTGCCAAGCCTAGCTGCTTGACTGCTGGTGGATACTTCGTACTAGATTTGCAAAACTATCTACAAGTACGTATACTTCTTGAAGACAGAAAAGTATAAAATAAATTTACACTTATAGAAAATTCGATCATATCGCCAAGAACTTGTTTGGGATTACGGTAAGAATCGAATAATACTGGTTGATTGTAGAATTCATTGCATTGCTCCTAATGTCCTCGAGAGTCACAAAGTCTCATTATAACGTAATTAAAGAAAAAAACGCGCGGGGGTTGGTGTAAGAATTATTCAGCTTTTTGCCGGAAAACCAAACATGTTCTTGGTAATGTACTTGAATTTTCTATGAGCGTATACGAGCTGGATCATCAAAAATTAAAAGCACCGTGAAAAGATATTAGTTACTTGCCTAATTAGAGTATTTTACTTTTTCTAGATTATGAAAGCATCTCTTTCATACTTTGCCTTTTTGAGATCCGTCAATTGAAATTCACGAAGCTGTAGATTCAAAAATTCATCCAGTCAAACGTAGTAAATACTGATAAATACGCACCGAAATTTTTCCAATTGTATTATGAATCCAAAGATATATTTTTTAATTTATAAATTATCATGCACATAAACGAATAAATGTTCGACTTCAGAAAATATCTGCATCGTAAAACTGATTTAGTTTCAATTTCAACTGTGTATCGAGACAAAGGTAAGCCTTTCGAGACGATGAATTTTTTAACGAAGAATGTACCAACGGCTCAAATCGATATTGCCAATTATAATCGACATAAACGTCGCGAGCATTAATTTTTTTTCTTGTACTCTTTTGCACAGATATCGTCTTAAAAGCTTACTTTGCCATGCAAATTGCCTTTTTTACTAACTAAAGAAAATGTGCGCGTTATGATCAAGCTTTTCTTCTATTATTCTGCACACATTCTCCGATACAAGCTACACAAAGTTTATATTTTAAAAAACACCGAAATGCTGGGGGAAGAATCGAGCTACGCCATCCAGATGAATCGTTACTTTTTAAAACCCATCGGGATCTGGCCCGTGGGCGAGGATGCCTCGGGCCTCGTGAAAACTCTGCGCGACGCCAACGTCGTCGCTTGCTTCTGGCTGATATGCTTTCTGCTGGTGCCCTGCGCCCTGCACACTTTTCTCGAGGAGCCCAATCCCAACATCAAGCTCAAACTCATCGGACCGATGAGCTTTTGCCTGATGGCGCTGGCCAAGTATTGCTCGCTGGTCGGCTACATCCCGGAGATCGCCGCCTGCTTCGAGCACGTCGAGCAAGATTGGACCATGTATCGACGCACCAATTCTCAGGTATTTTTGAAATTACACGTTTCAATATTTTTGTCTTCTAATAATTTTTGTTAATTTAAGTACGAGCTGCGCACGATGCGGCGAAATGCCAAAATCGGACGAAAGTTGGCCCTGCTGTGCGCGGCCTTTATGTACGGCGGTGGCTTCTTTTATCACACCATCATGCCCCTGTCGTCGGGCAAAATCGCCACGACGGAGTTCACGCAGAGACTGCTCGAACTGCTGTCCGAAAACAATACGGATCTCGAGCACATGGGACATGGTAAGATGTTAAAAATATTTACATCCAAATTAATGTAAAAGCGATGGAAGTTTTTTTCTTTTAAATATAGGAAAACTTCATTTTAGGTTTATTCAAGATTTTGTCTTTTAGGATGTAAATGTAAAAAGAGCGAACAACCATGAAGTCTTCGTGCTTCATAGTGAATAACTTATACAATTGTTTTTACTTTGCCGATTGCGTGTTCACAGATAAGTTTATTCGACATCTAGCGGTGGAGTTTGAATTAAATGATGATTGAAAAATAAATCATCATTGAAAAGTTGCTTTTTCGCCGGAATAATTTAATTTAATTATAGGACGAAATTTTTCTTGTTCAGTTTTGTTTTAAAATTACTGCATGTGATTGGATTTGCATGCAATTTAAGTTTGATCGTAAAATCAGTTGCGATAATATGGGTTTGAGTTTTATAAAACCCTATTGGGATCTGAGATGGAGGCGGGCCTAACACGAAATGATCCGAGTGTCCCATGTGTTTACTGTATCTATACATATCGATCTCAGATCCCAATAAAGATATCTAGGGTTCTTTAAAAAACGATGCATTTTCATGCACAAAAATAAAAAATCTCTCGAACGAATTTCTCCCCGAACAAAGACTTTGAAATAATACCTCGAATGAATCTAGCATCGGTGACTGTAGTTCCAAACCTTTTTTTTTCTCGTACACGCGCACAGGTCCCCGAGCCTTGACCTATCCGATCTACGCGCGTCTGCTGAACGTCGAGCGCAGCCCCGTCTACGAGATCGTGTTCGCCGTGCAGACGGTGTCGGGCTTCGTGCTCTACACCATCACCATAGGCGCCTGCAGCCTCGCCGCGACCTTCGTCGTGCACGTCTGCGCCCAGCTGCAAATAGTCATGGACCTGCTGGGCAATCTGGCCGATGGAACGATCGAGGATGGTGGTGGCGGTGGACTCGGAGTCGACGTCGAGGCCCGATTGAACGACAAAATAGCCACGATCGTCGAGCGACACTTGCGAGCTCTCACGTATATAATGATAAATTATTTAGCAGCAGTTATGTGGGCATAACGTTATAAGGGACTTTCGTGTGTGATTTCAGCTTCGCCGAGCGCGTCGAGAACAATCTCAATGTCATATGCTTCGTCGAGTTCATAGGCTGCACTATGAATATATGCTTTCTTGGATATTATTTCATCACGGTAAAAAAAAAAAAAAAATAAATAATAGAAACGAAATTGATAAGTCATGCCTGCTAGCCAAAATAATACCTGTTATGGTGTTAAAAAGTAAAAGTATACTGAGAAATATAGTCATCTCCGCCCATCATGTTATTTCATTGTATGGATGGAATATTTAGTTGAATTTACTAAAAATTTATTTTCGATTAAATAATGAGTTGATTTTATGAAACATACAATTTTTTGTGTGACAATTAACACCAATTTATTAGCAGTTTTTGAATCAGTCAACTAACATTTGATTGAATAGAAATATTTAGTGAATGCAACAAAATATTCGTTGTTTCTATTGAACCAGATATTTTTTCAAATATGCATAAAATTTACCACTCATTATATTCTATTACGCAGGAGTGGGAAAGCAGAAACACAATCAGTACGATGACTTACTGTATTTTACTCGTGTCCTTCACGTTCAATATTTTTATCTTCTGCTACATCGGCGAAATTCTGACAGAACAGGTACGGTACTTTTGGCAACACACGTGTGGATGTGCTATTTCCAGTGACACTTGCAGTTGCAGCACTAGCCGTAAGCGAGTGCCACAATGAGTTTTCAATTGAAAAAGCACATTCCCCTCGGTTGCAATAAATATTTTAGAGCACGATAAACTAGCAGCACAGTAGGCAGTTTGTAGGTTATTTAGTGTTATAAATGGGCTATTTTTTTGACACGAGTCATATCGAATTATCGAGTGAATTATTTTTGTTGTCGCGAATGTGCAGTGCTTGCGCGTGGGCGAGGCGGCTTATCGCGTCGATTGGTACAAGTTGCCGTGCAAAAAAGCTCAAGGATTGATACTGATACTGGCGGTGGCGAATCGTTGCCCGGCGAAGATCACCGCGGGTAAATTAGTCAATCTGTCGCTTGGTAGCTTCTGCAACGTAAGTGTCTATTCCGTACAAAAAAAAGAAAGTGAGTAAGACAATTTTTTGCTGTAACTTTATCTTGATTCAGGTGATCAAGACGGCGGCTACGTACTTGAATTTATTGAGAACTGTCATGCTGTGATTAGTAACAATTACATCGATATTGTTTGTAGTTCTTTGGGAGAAAATCATTGTTTCTTCATGTTACAGTTAACGATTGTCGAAAGTATTTTAATTGTGAGTTTTCAGATATGAGAATGCGCGAGAAAAAAGTGTTTTTAGTGATTTAAAATCCGTAACAATAAACGGAAGATATAAAAAAAACAATTGATTTGAAATTTGATTAAAGAATGTTTTGCTTGCTTCGGTTTTTTTCCGATACTTACGCCCGCATGCCAATTGCAGATATTCCATTTTTGAGTACAATTAGTCATTTATATATTGCATTTGGATCGTTAATTCTCAATTATTTTTCAAACAAATCAGCCGTGAAAAAGAAATTAAGAAATTGTATCAGAAAGAAGTGTGCGTGAGGTCATAATCAGATCGACATAAGTAGATATACACGGAAAAACCGGCGAAGAGGCGCGCGAAGCAGCTCCGCGAGCTCGTTCTGTTATTTTTTTTTTTTGTGTATCAAGCGAGCATACGGCGTGTAGCAGCGTGTTGCTCTTCGTTAGTCTTTCAGTGTATGCCGAGTAAAGAAGTCGTACAAAAATACGGGGAAAAAAAGAGAGTTCGCGTTCTTTCGACACACATACATATGAAAACATTGTAACGCAGTCGACATCGCGACAAACTCGCAGACGTTTATTATCGCAGTGCAATAGACGAACTCGCGGATAGTTTATCCGAGATATTTATAGTATAATAATTGAAATTAAAAGAAACAGAGAACAATGGATCGCTTGAGTGGCAAAGTGGCCGTGGTGACCGGTGCCTCGGCGGGTATCGGTTTGGCCATAGCCAAGGAACTTCTGCGTCAAGGTATGACGGTCGTCGGTCTGGCTCGAAGAAAAAGTCTCATGGAGGTAAAGTGAAATAAAACGTTTTTGTGCATGCCTATACACACTTAGTTTCGAGCTATTTATATAACACTCGAATTTTATCGCTCTGTGTCAATAAGGAGAGATTAGGGGGCGGCATCATCAAGAGCGGTGAATTTCGAGCGATCGAGTGCGACGTGAGCAAAGAGGAGAGCGTCAAGGAAGCCTTTCAACAGATCGAGCGCGATTTAGGCGCGCTGCACGTACTGATCAACAATGCTGGCATTTTCCGGCTCAACTCTTTGGCCGGTATGATTTTTATTTTTTTTATTATTTTTTTTACCACGCGCGACGATGATATAATATCGAACGATTCGTTGTAGATGCCGACATCAAGGACATAAGGGAGCAAATCGACGTCAATGTACTCGGCTTGGTACATTGTTCGCGCGAGGCCATCAGAATCATGAAGGACAAGGACCTCGAGGGCCACATCGTAAATATGAACAGGTGATCTCACGAGTTCTATGTGAATTTTTTTTTCTAGACGTTGATCAATTGACCGACTTTTATTATCATTCGACAGTATCCAAGGTCATAGAGTACACACCGTGCCTGGTTTGAATTTCAACGTCTACTCGGCGACGAAGCACGCCGTGACCGCCATCACCGAGACCCTCCAGAAGGAGCTGTTAGGAGGCAAGATTCGCGTCACGGTAATCTTACGCTTCTGTACGTACAAAAATCGTTGATTCTCCTTTTTCAAGCTTTTATACTTTATAATACAGAGCATCAGCCCGGGGGTGGTGAAATCCGAGATTTTCGAGGAGACCAACGTCGACAAGTCGGAGTACTCGCATTATCCGACCTTGAACTCGAGCGACGTGGCCGAGGCCGTGGCTTTCATCGTGTCCAGGCCGCAGCACGTGCAGATCACCGAGATGACCATTCGACCACTTGGTGAATTGATATAGAGTGGAGAGAGCAAGAGAAAAGATTTGTTTGAAGGATCACTTTAATATTCAATATTCTTTGACAAGCATAAACAAAAAAAAAATTTGAATAAAAAAATGAATTTACAACATACACATGTTTTACAAAAAAAAAAAATAAATAAATAAATAAATAAAATAAACAAACTACACTGGTACATAGTTTAAACTTATGAAATATGACGAAAAGAATTATTCTTTATAAAAGCCATACGTTTTTAAACGTACTTTAATACAAACAGCAGTGAGTAAATTACACATTATTCAATAGCGTTGAAAGGTAAACAATGAAACAATTAATTAACAGATATCAATACTAATAAAATACATCATAACCAGAGATTATTTATAGAAGTCACATAACTATTTTTTAGTTAATGTACATAATCCAGGGCCAGAAGATTTTTTACTAGGTTGTTTACTACTTTTTTGTGTGAAGTATTCACTTTTTGTCGGTCGCTTGGGGATGAAAGTTGTTTGAGTAGAAGATGAAGCTTTATTTGTGCTTGTACTTGGTGTTTGGCCAGTGCAATAACTAAAGGTTTCATTATAGAAATAAAGCATAGCAATATCAACTTAATTAGTACTTACTTCCTCATCGGCGTAGAAACGTAATTGGTAAAATTATCGTATTTAAACTTTTTGGATCTCCTGTGGCTTCTGTAATTCGACCTTTTATACGGCCGGTGTGGATTGTACGCCCTGTTTGGCGTCCACTCGGTGTCGACCTCCCAATTTTGTTGTGTTAGTTCTGTATCATCAATAAAATCATCTATCACAATAGTATTGTTAACAACAGGCTCTTTGTACGTTGTATTTGGTAACTTCAGCAGTCCTATCAATTCAACACAAAAATTTTTATTTAAATTATAGATACAGCATGTAATCGAATGACATTCAGTACCTTCTTTTTCTATCGCGAATTTCTGAGTTATGTCCAACAAAGCTTTTCCGTATTTTTCGAAATTAGCTTTAGTTACGTGCGGTATACGAAGCATATCTTCTTTTTTCTTAGGCAATTGCTTGCTCATAACTCGCAGAGCTTCAATGTTCATTATAGAATTGGCTGAAACATTAAGGGCACCCGCGATACCATTTACCATTGTGCATAGCTCGGTATAACATTGATTCTCTATTTGCAACAGTTCAGCATTCGTTTCAGATTGTGCAGTTGAGGTGGCAGGCACGACAATCGTCTTGCGTGCCGATACGGCTCGTTTTCTTTGTAAGAATATCTAAAATAAATCATAAATGAAAATGAATGATTCGAATAAAAGATTGGTGTTTTGAGTTATAAAAACTTCATATTTGTTTGTACCTGTACGTTATTTGTATTGAGCAGTTCAGGAGCATTCTTTCCTACAGTTACATAGCCAGTCATAATGTTATTGTTTGGAAGCATAACTTCGCAAAGGTACTCTCCCACTAGCAAATTGTGCAATATTCTTTCAACTTCATTTTTCGTTAGTGATTCTCCTTTACCATACCATGGTTTATAAACGTTGCCAAGTTTGTAAGCGAATGGCGATACATCGCAGCCTTTGAAAATATCGACCACTTGTAAAAGCGTGACATTATACTTTTTCAAACTGTCCAGAGATTGTATCAATCTTATAAGGTCACGAGCATCTTCCGTAACATCCAGATTTTCAAATTGATCCTGTTAAATGGTGAAAATTAGAAAAGTATTATTTTAGAATGAAAAAATTTGAAATGAAACTTACATGAGTTTTGCAATTATCACATGTAGTAGTAATATTTTCAATACACTGCTGACGGTCAAATTTTTCACCAAAGTAATTTAGTTGTAAAACTCGTCGACAATCTGATAGGTTTTCACAGAAATTGACTATTTTATACAAATTGTCCATATGTATATCATAAGCCTGGGGATTTGACAACTTCAAATCGGCCATCAAGAATCGATAGCGATAAATATCACCGTAAGAATACAGTAGTATACAATCGGCCGGCTCACCGTCACGACCGGCTCGGCCACTTTCTTGGTAGTATCCTTCAATAGACTTGGGCATTGCTGCATGAATGACAAAACGTACATTTGGTTTGTCAATGCCCATTCCAAAGGCTATTGTTGCACAAATTACTTTAACCTATTCGCAAATAATGATTTATTAAAAATTTATCCTGAAAATAGTTATGGCGAATAATCATGTGGTCATAGATTTCTCACTTTTTCAGATACCCAATGCATTTGCCTCTCAGTTCGGAGTTTATCTTCAAGTCCAGCGTGATAACTGATTGCTGAAATGTTCCTATCTTGCAGTAATTTAGCTAACTCATCACAATCTCTTCGTGATATACAGTATACAATTCCACTGGCTCCTTGAAATTTTGTTCTAATTAATTCTAATACTTGTTGAAATTGCGATTTTGGTTTTTTTAACATAATTGTATAACGTAGATTAGGTCTGTTGAAACTTGATATAAACCTAAAAAAATTATTTCAGTTATGAATTATAACTGTAAAAATCTATCATTACTGTGTAATATACAACTACAATACCATTTGGGGGAATTCAAATGTAGTTGGTTTAGAATATCACTTCTGACCCTTGGAGTGGCTGTTGCAGTGAGAGCAATAATAGGAACATTAGGAAATTTGTCTCTGAGCACACGAAGTTTTGTGTAATCTGGACGAAAATCGTGTCCCCATTGACTAACACAATGAACCTCGTCAATGACAAATCTTGAAAGTCGACCTTTGCGATAAAGTTGTCCCAGCGTAGTACCAAGTTTGCTGGATGCAGATAATTTTTCTGGAGTGATATAGAGTAATTTGAGATCACAATTATCATCTTTGAGGCTGTGGTAAATTTCCGCAACTTGATCTTCATTTAGATCTCCAGTTAAATATGCTGCAGGAATCTGAAATAAATTTTTTATTTCATAAATGATGCAATTAAAAAATTAATTCGAACTTTTTTATAAAGTTTTTAGTTACATCAAGGGAAGATAGTTTTTGCGTTTGGTCTAATATCAAGCTTCTCAGAGGAGATATTACAATTGTTATACCAGGTGCCAAAAGAGCTGGTAATTGATAACATAAAGATTTTCCACCCCCTGTAGGCATCAGAATGAAACAATCCAAATTCAATATTATAGCATTTATTGCTGGAAGTTGATTTGGACGAAACTGATGTAATCCAAATTTATTTTTGAATAACTAGAACATGTCATCAAACAAGATATTATGAATTCACATTACTTACAAATTTTTACAATATAACAAAATAACATTTAAAAATACTTACATGTAGCAAATTTCGACTGTGAGGAAAATCAAAATTATTAAAATTGGGATCATTACCATCATCTTTTACATTACCAATAAAACTGACTGTTTGAGCAGCACAAATATTTGAAACTGCTTCTTTATTTACCCCAGGAGCTAGTATATCGTCAAATTCTATAATAAATTCAACAGTAAATGTCAAAAAGTAGTAAATAAAATAATTTTACCAACTAAAGCAGTATATAAGCAAATTTTACCTTCTGAATCATTCCAACAGAAACCTTTCTTTATTAATTCATTTGGATCAACTTTCAAGATATCTTCATCGATAAATTTATTATAATTACTTTGAATATTATTTTTTTTATTTTCCACAGAAGTTTTTGCTGTGCATGTAGGTAAAGATTCAATTTGAGTTTTTGATCCATTCATCCAATTGTTATTAATGCCAATAGTATTGACAGATTTGTTAATAATGTTTCCATTTCCTACTTTTAAAGTTAAATTTTGAGCATTTTTGGAAGGAAGTATAAGCTCTGCTGATGCAGAGTAAGTAGGCTTTGAACTTTGAGAATCCGATGAAAGACTAATATGATCATCGTTGTACTTTAGTATTCTGCTATTTGTTTGCTTCACACGAGCTTTTATATTGTTTACAAGAATCTTGAGACGCTCAAATACTTCAGCATCGTAACCTGGCAAATTTGCCAATAATGGTTGTGGGACTTTACATAAAATATTGTAAAAATGGTCATACGCTTGGATTTGTAAGTCTTGAAGATTTAATTTTTCTGCATTAAGCAGTTTCTGTGACCTCTGTAAGAAAATGTATTGAAAAACATAAATTACGAAAATAAAAAGTTACTCGGTCGTTTTACCGCTCTAGAAGGTTTCATCACGGGATTACTCTTGACCTCCTTAATCCACTCGTTCAACTTCGCATCCATCCCCAAATCTTCGTATTGGTAACCGGCTAAATTCACGACGAAGTAATCGTCCTCGGTCTGCTGCGGGCCGGAGGAGGACATCTGCACGCACTCCGCGGCTCTTCGTTCGCTCCGTGGCTTCGACGTCGGCTGGATCGGCAGTGTGTCGCTCTGGGTGTCGCCGCTGGGGCTGCGAATCATCCGCTCGATCAGGCAGCTCACGCTGCTGGGCGACGAGGTCGTGCAACTGCTGCAGTTAAGGATATTCTCGTCGATCGACTCGTTCTCGTAGGTCGCGGCTTCGGCGGCCTTGGTCGAGGCGTTCGAGCGCGGGCGACGTTCCGATGTTTTATCCGGTCGATTGTTGTTGTCGTCGCTTGCGCCCCGCGCAAAATTGCTCGTCGTGGCTCGACCGCCGACGCTCGTCCTGCCATTGAACTCGGTTTCGAAAGAGAGAGATGATATAGAGCTCATTGTTGATCACACATATATGTATAAATATTGTCCGCGACACACAATTTTCTCTCGCGAGATGAGAAACGCGTATACTACACTTATACTTTACTGCGCATGGAATCGAATCGTTTCGAATCTGAAAAATCCTAGCGATCAACTGCCTTCAACTAACGCAAATTGCGTGCATCTACGGAAAACGGATACTAGGATAAGTTATAACTGCCTGCGCCGAAAATTGGTCGAATTCTGCCAGAAGCGCTTGAAAAGAGCGCCACGGAAATTCTCGATAAAGTCAGCCTCCCGATTCTGCAGTTACCAGTTTCCCACTGTACATTTTGAGTGTATATACTACTAACTACAGTTATGCTCGGCTACATTCGCGCTACATCGCCGCTACTCGGATCGCTGGCGCACCGACTGATAAGGCAGCTTTCTATTCTAACCTCGAATAAATCTGTATTTATATTATATCTATATATCGCGCTTGTATTCATGCCCGCGTGTGTATATATAGATATACAGATATAACACGTAAGCTACTGCTGCGCTGCTGCTGCTGCATCTGACAGACAATTCGCGAGGGTGCGGTGTGCGGGTGGTTGCTTCATTACGTATATATATATGGACATAATAGTCAGGCTGCTACTTACTGCTGTTCATCACACAGTGTGTGCGAGTTGTCGTAAACTCGATGCATTTGATACACGCATGCCTACGTACAATAATAAAGCACGAGTGGGTATACGTCATTGCTGCAGCATAATTCGTCTGTGACATACGCGTGCACAGCTGCACACCTGGTGACGTGACAGCATATAGACAGAATGTCTGCGCCGAGGTTTGATAATAGTGGTGCCTTTGCCGAGCAATCATTAATGACGATGATGACGACGACGATCGACGAGTCATGCAGTTCGGATTGCTGAATTATCGAACGTCCCGACGAGCAACACAACTCTGCGAGCAAATTTAATTACGTGGACAACATCTGGATCCTGGGTTAGTGCCTCTGATCGCTTGTGTGTTCGGCTTGTAAAGGTTTACGCTGAGCTGTTCGAGTTGGCTTTGACGTTTAAATAGTAAACAAGTTATTTTGCGCCAAGCACCGTAAACCTCTATAGCATGTGAATATGTGAATACGAGTGTGTTAAATCATTGATCAAACTGTCATATTCTTTCAGATATCTCTGATGACAATGCGAAATAATTGTAAAACAAGAGAAATGTTTATTGTACGAGCATTGGAAAAGATATTAGCAGATCGTGATGTCAAGCGCTCACATCTGTCACAGCTCAGAAGAGCCTGTGAATCAGCACTTGGTATTTATTTGCACAAACCTATTTGTTTTATTTCATTATTTATAAACTAATGAATATTATATAATCTGCAGAGGATTTACATAATGAAATCAAAGATGTTCCTAATACACAAGGAGAGGAAGCTCCTTCTAATGCTCTACCACAGCCCAAGAGCGACTCCAATTTTATAAGCGCTGAAAAGTATTTTCTACCTTTTGAGTTGGCGTGTCAGAGCAAGTCACCACGCATAGTGGTCACATCCCTAGACTGTCTGCAAAAACTAATTGCCTATGGGCACCTTACAGGCAGCATACCCGACTCAACGGACCCTAGTAAATTATTAATTGAAAGAATTGTTGAAACAATTTGCAGTTGTTTCATTGGCCCGCAAACAGATGATGGTGTGCAATTACAAATTATCAAAGCGCTACTCACTGTTATGACCAGTCAACACGTGGAAGTTCACGAAGGAACAGTTCTGTTGACAATCAGAACAGTTTATAATGTATATTTAGCTTCCAGAAATTTAGTTAATCAAACAACTGCTAGGGCAACTCTGACTCAAATGATAAATGTGATATTCGCCAGGATGGAATCTCAAGCTGTAAAAATTATTAGAAAATTAAAGAATAATAAAGTATTCATATAAAATCCTCTTTAAAATTAAACTGTAAAATATATTTTAGGAAGAAGAAAGTATAAGACAAGAGCATGAACACCAAAATTCATTGACACCTGTAGTCATTGAAACTGAAGTAACTGAACAAAATGAAATTTTGAATTCATCTACTGCTGCTAATGTTGATGCATCATCAACAACAAACTTTTCAGAACCTTCAATGGACCCTCCTCAATTGAATGATTCTCTTCCTACTAGTAATTATTTTTTACTGTAAAATTAATTAATTTATTTTAACAGTAGATCTAATTTAATTAAACTCAATTTACAGTTACATGCGAAGCACAACCAGAAGAGGCATCAAAATTAAGTGAAGCTCAAGAAGTTGTGCGCAGTGTTTTAAACAATATAATTGACAATATAATTCTTGAACCAGCTGCTGAGACAAAAAGTGTTCCCCAAGTTACAGAAGAACCAATTGAATTTGAAACACCTGTAGCGGAAGAAACTTCTGCAGAGAATAATTCTGTAATAGAAGAAGCTTCTGCTGGGAATAATTCTGTAACAGAAGAAGCTTCTGCTGGAAATAATTCTGTAACAGAAGATCAACAGCCAAATCAAGATGAAGCAGTTGTGGAGAGCGACAATATGGTTACAGCAAAGTTTACACATGTACTGCAAAAAGATGCCTTTTTAGTATTTCGAGCCTTATGTAAATTATCTATGAAATCACTGCCTGATGGTCCACCAGATCCTAAGTAAGTCGTTAAAACTTTTAAATCTGAAATTGATTTTGTTGTTTCATGAAAATTAAATGCATACATTTTTTATCTAGGTCCCATGAGCTCCGATCAAAAATTTTATCACTTCAATTACTTCTTGGAATTCTACAAAATGCTGGCCCTATTTTACGCTCAAACGAAATGTTTGTTATTACGATTAAGCAATATTTATGCGTCGCCCTATCGAAAAATGGAGTATCTTCCGTTCCCGAAGTATTTGAACTGTCGCTAGCTCTTTTCCTCGTATTGTTAGCCCGATTCAAAGTACATCTAAAGATGCAAATCGAAGTATTTTTCAAGGAGATTTTTATGAATATTTTGGAAACGTCCAGCAGTTCGTTCGAGCACAAGTGGATGGTAATTCATGCTCTTACCCGTATCTGCGCCGATGCTCAGAGCGTCGTCGATATCTACGTCAATTATGATTGCGATTTAGCAGCTGCTAATCTTTTTGAAAGGTATTGATCTTTTGCGTCGAGCACTATGATCATTATCGAAGAGGACAGTACCATATCTAATTTTGTTTTCTCTCGTACAGATTGGTGAACGATTTATCGAAAATCGCTCAGGGTCGCCAAGCTCTCGAGTTGGGCGCCTCGCCGAATCAAGAAAAATCCATGCGCATTCGCGGTCTCGAATGCCTGGTGTCGATTCTCAAGTGCATGGTCGAGTGGAGTCGGGATCTGTACGTCAATCCGTCGATACCGGCGGAACAGCAAGTGCCTCAAGCCGAATCACTCGATCCCTCGATGGAGAACGCCGGTACGCCCGGCAACAACGGCAACAGACTGCTGCCTCGATACGGCAGTGTCGGTAGTCTGAGCTCCGCGAATAGCAGCCTGGTCGGGAACAAAGAAGTTCCGGACTCGCCCGAGCAGTACGAGGTGCAAAAGCAACAAAAAGAAGTCTGGGAAACTGGCATCGAAATGTAAGGATGCAAACGATTTTCGTTTTTCTTCTTTTTTTCTTTCATTATTGAAAAATCGATACTCACTTTTCGATTCGTCATTTAGATTTAATAGGAAACCACCAAAAGGTGTGGCATACTTACAAGAGCAAGGTCTTCTTGGCACCACGGAGGAAGATATCGCGCGATGGTTACACACGGACGAGCGCCTCGACAAGACCGCGCTCGGTGACTTTCTCGGTGACCAAGGCTACAATCAGGTCATGTACAAATACATCGATCAAATGGACTTTACCGATCGCGATTTAGTCAGTGCCCTCAGGTACTTTTTGGAGGGTTTCAGACTGCCCGGCGAGGCGCAAAAGATCGACAGACTCATGGAAAAATTTGCCAGTAGGTACTGCGCTTGCAATCCCAAGTAAGTATAGACAATTAAAATATTCATCTTCTTATCGATTATCATGAGCATCCATAATCATTTGCATGTTTTGTTCAGTAATGGCCTGTTCACGAGCGCCGATACGGCTTACATCCTTGGCTTTTCCATCATTATGCTGACGACGGATTTGCACTCGCCCCAAGTGAAAAACAAAATGACGAAAGAGCAGTATATCAAACTCAACAGAAGGATTAGCGACAACGAGGACTTGCCGGAAGAATACCTGTCCAAAATTTACGACGAAATCGCCGGCAACGAAATCAAAATGAAGAGCAACTCCAACAGGATTGGCAAACAGGTGATCTCGAGCGAGAAGAAACGTCGACTATTGTGGAACATGGAGATGGAGGTGATATCGACCGCGGCCAAAAATCTCATGGAGTCGGTGAGCCACGTTCAAGCTCCGTTCACCACGGCCAAACATCTCGAGCACGTGCGGCCCATGTTCAAAATTGCCTGGACGCCGTTTTTGGCGGCTTTCAGCGTCGGCCTGCAGGACTGCGACGATCCGGAGATCGCCTCGCTCTGTCTCGACGGCATACGCTGCGCGATTCGCATCGCTTGCATATTCCACATGACGGTAAGCAACGGGAAAGTTCTCTGCGTATACGGTTTTTTACTCTAAATGTTTCGATTTAGCTCGAACGAGACGCTTACGTGCAAGCTCTGGCGCGATTCACCCTGTTGACGGCCAATTCGCCGATCACCGAGATGAAGGCCAAAAACATCGACACCATCAAGACTCTGATTACCGTGGCGCACACCGACGGCAATTATTTGGGTACTTCCTGGTTGGACGTGGTCAAGTGCATATCGCAACTCGAGTTAGCTCAACTGATCGGCACCGGTGTCCGTCCTCAACTTTTGGGCCCTCCCTCGAAGCCTCATCATTTCCCATCGCCGTTGGCTAACTTCGCCAATTTAAGCGTAACCAGTAGCTCGCACACTACCAATGGATTAAATCTCAGTTCACTGGATCGTAAGTACCAACAGCTCCTCAATTTCGATTTAATTTCAATCGATTGTAAAAGAGGATTATTTATCATTTCAGCGAGCGTCAAGGAATCGATCGGTGAGACGAGTTCTCAGAGTGTCGTCGTGGCGGTCGACCGCATATTCACCGGCTCGACGAGGCTCGACGGTGACGCCATTGTCGAGTTCGTCAAGGCTCTGTGTCAAGTGTCGCTGGAGGAGCTGGCGCACCCGACGCAGCCGCGCATGTTCTCCCTGACGAAAATCGTCGAGATCTCCTACTACAACATGGGACGCATTCGTCTGCAGTGGTCGCGAATCTGGCAAGTCGTGGGTGAACACTTTGACAGGGTCGGGTGCAGTCCTCGCCAAGAGATATCCTTCTTCGCCGTCGACTCGCTCAGGCAATTGGCGACCAAGTTCATCGAGAAGGGCGAGTTCGCCAATTTCCGCTTTCAAAAGGACTTTCTTCGGCCGTTCGAGCACATAATGAAGAAGAATCGGTCGACGGTGATACGTGACATGGTCGTGCGGTGCGTCGCGCAAATCGTTCACTCGCAGGCGCCCAACATTCGCAGTGGCTGGAAAAATATATTCAGCGTGTTTCATCACGCGGCCAGCGACAGGGACGAAGCCGTTGTCGATTTGGCGTTCTCGATGACTGGAAAAATTATAAGTAAGCTAATTGCACGAGCAAAACCCGAAATAGATTTTAAGAAATAGCTTCATTAGATATACTAACAAATTACGTATGTTTTGCAGATGAATTGTACGCCAAGGACTTTAGCATAATGGTAGACTCGTTTCAAGACTCGGTAAAATGTTTGAGCGAGTTTGCCTGTAACGCTTCCTTCCCCGACACGAGCATGGAAGCTATTAGATTGATTCGCGCTTGCGCCTCCTACATCGACGCGAATCCTCATTACTTCGCCGAAGGCATGATGGACGATATGAATGGCATGGTGTCCGAAGAAGATAGAGCTTGGGTGAGGAGAAATCTCGCTTCTCGTATTTATGCAATGGCAAATGTTTGTGTGCATCGACCGTAACGAATTTTCGTGTATTGCATTTGTAGGTACGAGGATGGTTCCCGTTGCTTTTTGAGCTATCTTGCGTCGTCAGTCGTTGCAAACTCGACGTTCGCACGCGAGCGTTGACCGTGCTCTTTGACGTCGTCAAAACTCACGGTGCCTCGTTCAAGCCGCACTGGTGGAAAGACCTGTTCCAAGTACTGTTCCGCATATTTGACAATATGAAGCTACCGGAGCAACACACCGAGGTGAATGAGATTGATAATTTGTCGAACGAGGACGGAACTATGTGTCATGTAACTTGTTACTATTTTTTTACTTGAGTTTGATTTTTTATTCTACGCTTGTTTCACTTTCATTATTACTATTGTTTGTTTGTTCGTTTGTTTGTTTGTTCCTTTGTTTTTTTCGTCGTTTCTCAGAACACATACAGTTAAACTTCCTTTTGTGGTGGATCGTAATCATTATCATTAGCTTAAAATAATGAGCTTTTCACACAATAAAAATCGTCGACTTTTTGATTTTTAAACTAATGACACTGTTAATTCATTGACAATTAACAAACTAAAATAGTAGTTATGATTTATCTGTACTAACGATACATTGAAATGTTGTAATAAACAGAAAGCCGAATGGATGACTACAACTTGCAACCACGCGCTGTACGCCATAGTCGACGTGTTTTCACAATTCTACGACACCCTCGGACCGCTGCTTCTCGAGCAGCTCTACGCCCAGCTGCACTGGTGCGTTCAGCAGGACAATGAGCAACTGGCGCGCTCGGGTACCAATTGCCTCGAGAATCTCGTCATAAGTAACGGCGTCAAGTTCGACAGCGACACGTGGGACAAGACTACCAGCTGCGTCCTCGAGATATTCAGCAGTACGCTACCGACGGCTCTGCTCACCTGGAAACCCGTGACGAACAAAGTAAAGTTTTCATTGTTCAACGACGACTGACTCGTCGAAACGGTAATCTTGCAATTGTGTAACTTTGGGAAATTATTTTGCAGGAATCAGACATGGATGTTATAACGGGGGAGGCCGAGCATTCGGGAATATTAAAACGAAGCTCTAGCAATCAGAGCATAGGTAGTAACAGCGAATCGAGTAGGGCCAAGGTATTCGCGGCTCTATTGATTAGGTGTGTGGTTCAACTGGAACTCATTCAGACAATCGATAACATCGTTTTTTACCCGGCTACATCGAGAAAAGAAGACCAGGAAAATCTCGCTGCCGCTCAAGCTGACATGCTCAATAGCAAATCAGAAGTCGGCGCAATAAGTTCGGGTAAGTCATCGATTAAGATTCAAAGCTTTATTATGAGTAATTTTTTTACCCCTTTAAATGCATTTGATAAAATTATTAGGTGGAGATCAACAAAAAGAAGAACAAGGGATGTACTGCGCACTGTCGTCCAATCATCTCCTAAAATTGGTCGATTGTCTCTTGAGATCTCATCGTTTTGCTAAAAGTTTTAATTCCAATCACGAGCAGCGAAATATCCTGTGGAAAGCTGGTTTTCGCGGAAACGTCAAACCAAATTTACTCAAACAAGAGATTCAATCGTTAGCTTGTTCGTTGCGCATCTTATTCAAAATGTATAGCGACGAGTCACATCGTTCCAATTGGTCGGTGATCGAATCCCGACTGCAGGAGGTTGCCACCGAAGCTCTTGAATACTTTTTGGTTCTCGGAAACGAAGCTCATCGCGATGCTTGGACACCCATACTGCTGTTACTGCTCACGCGAGTGCTTAAAATGACAGACGATAGATTCGCTGTGCACGCAAGCAGTATGTACCCTTTGCTCTGTGAAATTATGTGCTTCGATCTCAAGCCCGAGTTGCGAAGTGTACTGAGAAGATTTTTCCTGAGGATCGGCCCTGTTTTTAGGATTACGCAGCAGTAGTGTTTGTTGGTTTGTGAAAATTGAATGATCAATTGACTAGAGAGACACTTTGCCGTTGATGACAATGATGTAGTTGTTAAAAATAACTTTAATCTCATTTGCTCTATTATTTGAAGTTCATTTATAATTCTATGTATATTACAGTCTTTCTTATTATTGTATATTATTATTAGTATTAGCACTATTACGAGAGTAAAACTTTTTGAACGTTATCAAGTATGCAAATACTTTTTATACGCTGTTGTACTTTTTGCCAGTCATTGGTACTTACTGTTTTGAAATTACAGTGATTTGATTATGCGTAAATAATTCAAGTTTGAAGTTAACTTGATTAAGATTCAATTATTATTTGTAAATTATACTTATGAACACGAATTTGAAAGTGTAGAAGAAAAGATGAAGGATTCGATACATTATATTTTATACACGTATTCAATTTTATGAAAAAGTATGAGTGAATCGTAGATAATTAATTTTTGAACAAGAAATAAATTTTCATAATTACGAACATTTGAAAGAATTTTACAGTATAGATTTTTTTAATAATAAGATGTATACACTTTTTTTATTAGATAGTTTATTTAGCAATATTAGGTGTATTGTTAATAAGAGAAGTACTGAAAAATATCAAAATACATCTTATTCATTAAGTTAGATGTTAAAACTATAATAAATGCTAGGGAACGTAATGATCAAAATAAAAGTTACTAATTTCATAACTTTGAGTCATTATCATGTTAACGATATGAACGTGTGGTATATAAATACTTTATAATTTGAATTGCTTGGAAGTAATTTCAAAAACACTTAGTTCTTAACAATTCTTTAATGATAAGTCAAATTAATCAATCGAAAAAACACATTAGTATTTTATAAAGAATTTGAATACCTTAAATAGTTGAACATTCCTGTGTAACCTCTCTCAATTGATAAAAGAGGTTGACAAGATTATATTATTTATGTTATAGACCACCAGTGCCACAAAATGTTAATTTAATCCATACTTACAGTAAAAGTACAGAAATACATAAATCTCTAATTTAAAAAATTGACTTGATATCTCAGTGTAATAAATTTTTCAATTTATCAATTCGAGAGACAGATGATGTTGATTTTCATGATTATGTTGAAAATAATTTGTTCTATTTAATACAATACATTAATATATTATAAAAGTATTGTGATTTCTGGTTACTTCATACCTATTCCATAAAGATTATTATGCAACTATAATTTTTTTGCGTGTATGTATTTACGAAAAATCATCTTATATTTTATTATGATGTTGAGTTATTTTTGTTATTATCGCCCATTAATAATATCTGTCTGAAATCTTTACCTCTATAGTAAATGGAACTAATTGTTTTTTTACTTCATTTGCTATTCGTATTTTTACTTCCATAATATCGTAAATGACACATCTAAGAAAATGTATAGAAACAAAATCCCTCAAAGTTCTTTAGATACTAAAACAAACTTTATCGCACATAAATACCATGCCCAATTGTAACTGCATACGATAACTCACTTTTGACTCGCTCATATTTTAATGCTTCAATTTTATGGTTAATGTGGAGTCCTTTATACTCGTAACAAAATTTCAGCAATTATCAACTGTAACAATATGAACTCTTCAAAAATTTTAATTTTTTCACTCGATTCACCAAGGTCACTTCTTACGGGAAAAAATTTTTTTACCATCATTTAATCAGAATGAATTTTTTTTTAAGAACGAGAAAAAAATTAAACTCAAGAATTATTTAACCATGTGATGAAAATAATTGAAACGATTGTTTTAGTTCAAGTAACGCGGCAAGCTTCGAATTTCTTAGAAATTAGCAAACTCAGCTTTATACTATCCCTACTACGCTATGTTTTGCTGATGCAGAATAAAACACCCGCTGAGCTGCGACAAAACAAGACGAAAACAGTTGCAAAATAGCGCGCGAACCGAGCGCACGTGTGTATCTGATCCTGAGTCTGAGCCCACTCGATACGAGAACGATTTTGTCTGCCGAGATACAACTTTTTTTTCCATCAAATTCATCATGGAGCTTGAAAAAAAATCATTCGTCGACGCGTTCGCCGCGAATCGCGATAAATTTAGCGCCGTCTTAAGCTCCGAGCAGAAAGGAGACGAAAAAAATTCAAAATCGTCCAAAGAATGGCGACAAAAAGGCAATGAATTGTATACAAAAAGTAGCCATGAAGCACCCATGCACAAGGAGATATTCATTAATTACACTAAAAGCATATTATTTGCACCTAATGACTCTGAAGAACTGGCTCTTGGCTACGGCAACAGATCAGCATTTCTTTTACACATTGAAAAGTATCAAGATTGTATAAATGATGTTGATAAAGCTTTAAAAATTACTTCATCCAAATCTATGAAAGTAAAATTATTGTGTCGCAAGGCTGAGTGTTTAAAACACCTAAAAGTGTCTGAATTTCAAGACGTATTGAATGAAGCTAAATCTGTATTAAACGATGATGATCTAGAAGCTAAAAGAAATCTTGACAAAGTAATTGAAAGAGTCAATAATATACAAATAAAAGATGAAAAAAAAGAAGAAAATGACAATAATGATGTTGAAATGAATAAAGAAATAGAATCAAATGTCCTGGATTCTATAACTATTAGATACAATAATAAATATGGAAGACATTTGACAGCTAACAAAGACTATAATCCAGGAGATATAATTTACATAGAAAAAATGTATTCAGCAGTGCTTGATGTTACAAAAAGATATACAAACTGTGCCTACTGTTTGAAAAGATCTTGGTCTGGAATACCATGTGAAAATTGCTGTTGGACTATGTACTGTTCTGAAGATTGTAAAAAGAAATCATTTATTGAACATCATGATATCGAGTGCTCTCTGATTCCTCAAATTGAGGCAGAAAATTATGGTTTTTTATCTTGTTTTCATATTTGCTTGAGAGTACTTTTAAAAGGTTTGAAAGAAAATAATATGCACATTGAACAAATGAAAAGTAAACTTAGAAAAACTGATGAAAATGAAAGTACGTAATTTTAAATAAAACAATCATATTTATTCATTATACTAATTTAATATTATCATTTATTAATTATTTCAGCTCCATACAGAGGATTTATGGATAACAGTACATTTAGCATGAATACGTTTAGTGCTGTCTATTCTTTGAAGAGCAATGAAATTCCATCATACATTTTAGAACAACTTGCTTTTAATGCATGGGTGATAATTCTTCATTTACTTAAAAATACTTCTTTATTTGGTGAAGCTAAAATGTACAACAAAATTGAACAGTTGATAAAAAATGAAGACGTACTTTTTCTAGGTTCTATTTTTACAAAACTTTGTATAATAAAGTACAATAACAATTATGATGTGAGTTTTACTGAAAATTTTATGGAGTAACACGTATTCATAACTATAATTTTTATCAGCTATCTGGCAAGTTGGATATTTGTGAAAACATGCATGACCAAGAAATTTGCAGATCTGTTGCGTGTTGTAAAAAAGGAACTGGTTTAGGTACCTTAACCAGCCTGATAAATCATAGCTGCTTTCCAAATGCTGCGTTTTGCTTCACTGAAGATTCAAAGTTGATTATATATGCCTGTTTGCCAATTAAGAAAGATTCTCAGGTGAGTTGTACAAATTGTATAGTAAATGAAAAAACTTGATTTGTATTTAATTGTTCCAATCTGTAGATATTTATTAGCTACGGTCTGTTGTATTATGATGTTGAATATGAAGAGAGACAATCATTTTTAAGCAAGTACTATTTCAATTGTGACTGTGAAGCTTGCGGTGGTAATTGGCCACAAGTTTTGTTGAGTCCTGAAAAGTATGAGGTAAGTTAAAGCTAAATTGTAATTTATTTTTAGCTGATGGATAATTGTATTTTAATTTTATTTTTCAGAAGGAAATTCTCATTACAAATTTGAGCCCAGATGAAGAGAAAACATTAAAAGAACAGTGTAAAAAAGTATTTGAAATACTGCAGCAAGTCTCAGACTCATTTGATTCGTTCAAATTAAGAATAGTGTCTAGCGCTATCACTAAGGCTTCCAGTAATTTAAAGCAACCATCTCTGATTACAAGTTGCCTCATTGAAAGTTTGCACAAAGGTTTTGCTTTTATTTTTGAAGCTAAACAACATGTGTTTGGTCAGTGTGTCGAGGAAAAAAAATAGACTTTATAGATGTAAAAAATTAAAAGAAAATTTTCTATAGATCATTTAAATGTATAATTTGACAGGACTTCTTTGCTAATTTGAAGGAAGTAATGGTACAAAATTTACTAAATTCATGAAATAAACATACTATTCATACATTTCATTTTATGAATAATTGAATTTTCACTAAACTTTCGAGGGTATGTCTCACAAATTTTTGATTTGCTTCGATTATCTTCGGGAGCCTGGGCAGAAATTTTGAACTGAAAGATTACACAGTTTTTTTTAACTACTCAAAATCTTGAATATACTTAAAAGGAATCTCTGTTGATAATTGATTAAATGGCTTATTCTGTACGATAAAGGTTTTATCTTGAGAATAAGTTTATAATGATATCAAATTTATTTGAATTGATCTATAAAACAATAAAATTTCCTATAAAGTTAATAAAAAAAAATTCAAACTCAAATATAACTCTTTTTCTCTTCTATATATTTCTCAACTCTTTTTTCTACTATTATTATATTCTATTAATATTTACATAGATTAATCTTATGCTATTACTCAAGTCAAATTTATATAGCATATATTGGATAATGGATGAAAAAAAGTTAAAATTCTAGAAAAGTTGGGATTAATTCAAAATTAAGATATCAACTCGAATGAAACTAAAAATAATATCGTAGTCATTTGCTAAAGTGACTTGCTGTTCGCTGCTCGTCCGATATAATGATGACGTCGGAGCTTTTGAAATGGCGCCCGTCGTGCCCACCTTCATTCAGCCCTGCCCAGCATTTCAACGAGCTCCAATGGCGCTTTGAAGTTGCTGTGCTATCGAAAATTTTATATATTTGAAAAATATTTTTCATTTTTCTGCCAAGTGCTTGAATGTGGCATTTAGCTTTCGTAAAGTATTAATTCTATTAAAATTGTTCGTATTTTGACATGAACATTTAGAATTGAACGAAATTTTTTCAAGTGTCGAGTGACGACGAGTAAATCTAATCACAATATTTAGTATTATGAAAAAATGATTTCAGTTCGACCGGTCGAGCCTCTTACGTGAATGTTAATACATTTATTTTTGTTATACATATTCAGTAGTTTTTAATGAATCATTGAATTTTTCAGGGAATTTCAAGAAGAAAGTCTTTCATTTCAGTAAAACGATTTTTTATTTTAAAATTTATTCTTTTACAAATTGTGTACACGTATCCTTATCATACATGTTCCGTATGGACAAATCCGTGTCAAACCGTCAATTCATTAGGCTGTTGTCATTTTTTCCATCAGACTGTAATTCGCGGCCAGTGTCTGTTTTTTGGCCCATCGTCTTCTCTTTCTGCCCCTGTTTGGACCCCGTGGGACCCCCGTTGGGCTAATAGTACTTCGTGGGGAGAAGATGTGCTGGGGCAGCGAGCTCGTCACGATTGCGTTGTTTGGTGTTGCGTCTTCTTCTTCTGGCCACCTCTTCGTTTCTCAAACGAATTATGACTGTGTGAGCGAAGTTTGTATCTGGCGAGATGAGCTTTGATCAAATTTATAAGAGCAAGTCTCCTAACGAGTCGCTGTCAACATGCGGCGACTGTCGTCGGCATGGCGTTAAATCGGTGTAGGCACCATTTATCTCTTCGCAGCTCCGCGTTGTCCTGGCAGCGTGTGCAGTCCTGCTTCTGCTCCCGCCACGAATTTGGTTTGCGCCAATTAGATGGCGGAGCGATATTTTTGGCCTGCACGTCACGAATCGCATTACTCCGTCTTTTGGTATTTATAGACGGGAAAGATTTTACATCCGATGAATGAGTTCGTAACATTTGCATGAACGGTCTCACCACGGGATGTAATTCTTTCGGCAGACTATCCAGACGGTGCCACTCGATTTTTCCAATTTCCCCGTGGGTGTTCGCGCGCAAAACAGGCAAGTCCAGCTCTGTACACTGCACAATGTACAGACGTACGAGTTGCCCATTGTGAGTTTTTTCGAGAAAATTATCTCGATTTATGTATCGACTAATATCGAGATTCGTTTCTTCCAAGACTTCTCGGACTGCACAGTTGGAAGGATTTTCTCCTTCATTTATTTTTCCCTTAGGGAATCCCCAAGTTTCCATGAAAGCGTCTTGGACTAATAAAATTTTCGTTCGGTCCCCATTCAAGATCAATCCACCGCACGTAGGAACCTTCCTTTTAAAAAATTTGTAGTCCTGGACCATGGCTTCTACTTCGGTAGAAGCCAGGTCAGGATTAATATAATTAAAAAATTCCTTAGCGAAGGGCCTTAAGTCACAGTTGCTGTGGCACTGGTCGGTACAATGGTCTTTCCAGTGCCACATGGCCAACTCCACTTGGGCCATCACGAAGATTTTGTTCTTGAATTTTTCCTCCGAAATAGGAGAAATAAATATCCTGTAAAAAAATTGATTTATTAAATATTTTAATAATTTATTAATTGTAATTGTTAATGTAACGTACAGTATTCTTGTACGAATTCCGTAGGATTCTTCAAGAAATTTTTACCCGAGATGTAAACGATGTTCAAGCTTTCACAATACCCTATTGTGTAAACAGCAACCCCAGAAAAATTTGAATAACCCAAAAGCTAATTTATGACTGGCCGACATAACTTCTCGAGCTTTTGAATCGAAACTTATAAGTTATCGAATGATATCGTTCGATGGTTATCGAGCTGCATTTTAATAATTTTTTTTAAGCACATAGTAAAATGAATTTATCTATAAATTATATACATTATAAATGGTTATTTGAAGAACATTCGGTTAAATTTTCAGCTGAAAATAGTGAAAAATAAGCTAACTACAGCAAATTTTCTCACAAAACTGAAAAAAAAGATCGATTACGGTGGACACTGTAACTGAAAATCTACTCGACCGATTCTTTCCAAATTTTTCTCACTATTTATCTACATAAATTATGAGGTAATGACATCGAGATATTTCATTTAAAATGATTTTTGAATGGCATCATTTTGAAGTGAAAAAATGACTTTTTTGACAAAATGAAGGCAAAAATTCATCGTACTTGTTCGTAAAAAGCATTTAAAAATGCAAAAAGTTAAGATATCTCGACGTCATTACCTCAGATGTTATATATGTAATGTGTAATGCCGGAACTGGCATTATCTGTTGGGCCGCCCTGACGAACCATCGTCGACTTGCCGAGTGTATAGTTAGTTATAAGAATCGTTATTAATAATTGTATTTTGAATATGATTTCATGTGAGCGCCAAGTGTGAAAGAATAGAACGTAAACACGCGTATACGTTGAGATACTAGAGCGTACATATGAACAGTAGAAAAGAGTCGAAGATTTGCTTTGAGAGCGAACGGAGCTCGAGTGTGAGAGTTGAGCGCGACATCCTGGGGGATGTCTAGGTCGGATTGACGAGTACCGCGCGGCTAGTAAGATCCTACGTCGCCCGAGTAAAGAGTGCGAGTGCCGGTACGAGTCGATCCGAGTGCGCGAGAGAAAACCAGCGAATCCAACGGCCGAGCAGACCACAAGGACAACCAAAGGTGGATCTGGACCAGGAGAAGATCTCGACATCGTGTGGTGAGTCGGGCGGCCCAGTTCTCAGTCGCTTGATGTCCAGCACCGGCAATTCCTCCAGACTTCCTTTCAACACAGTTGATCCTTTCTGGATCTTCACGGGTTTTCTTGTGAGATTCATCACGGGTAAGACCACGCTCTCCTCGTTGGTACACACGTCGATCGTGCAGATAGACGACGGAGAAGTCACGGTGGTTCCCTTCGCCTTAATTTTCTTATCGGTCATCGGCTCCAGTGACGGCATCTGCGTGAACGTCAATGCGTCTCCTTCCTTCACCATAATACACGCAGCGCTTCCTGGATCGATGAACGAGCTCATTGCCTTATTGTTGATCAAGGCTGTCTTGTAATATTTTACTGCGGTTGATCTAGAAGTTTCTTCGCGCCCATTTGAGATTTCATTCACCGCGTTTTGACAATCCTTTTTGTAGTGTCCCGCTGTTTTACATCCAAAGCAGTATGGTTCCTTTTGAGGCTGTGTGCAGTCTTTGGAAAAGTATCCATACGCCTGACAGTTGAAGCAGCGCGGTTCACCTTTCTCATTTCTCGACGGCTGCCTTTGGGGTCTCTCGCTCGCATTCCGGCTGCTCTTGTCGCCATTTGTCTTCGTCTCGACACCGCTTTGTTGACCTCTTGGGTTCGCTGACGAATTGCTTGATCGGATCCGCTCTTGCCGTTGGCCTACTCGGTATTCATAGTCCAGCATATCGTGTAGAAGCGCGTCTACATCGGCATGTGCTCTTGCTGACATGGCATTGAAAAGGTCCTTGGACCATAAGCCCACCAGGACTTGTTCCTTTGTTTCTTGTGTATTAAGGCGTAGATCAGCGCACAGTTTCACCTTGTTATGGAAATATTGCTGTAGTGACTCGTCCTTTCGCTGCGTGCGCTCGGCCATTCTTTTCCATCGACAAACCGTCGAATCTTGGCGCACGTACGTCGTTTGGAAGGCCTCTTTGAATTTCAGCCATGTATCCACAAGACGGCGACGCGCCGAAAACCAATCGCGCGCACCTCGCACCAAATGCATGCGCGCGGTCTCCAAGGCAAATTCCTCGGGCCAATGATGAAGCAACAGCATGCTCTGGATATTCGAGATCCGCTCTCTAGCCTCGGAAGGCGATTCGTCGCCAGTGAAATTTTCTATATTTTTCGTGAGGTCTGGCATCACTTGATAGCTCTGCGCCGGTGCCTCTGATGTGGCCGCTGGCGCTGTATTTTCACGCGGGGCAGGCGTGTTCATACTGAGTAGCATGAATAATCGCTCCATCATCGCGTCTCTCTGTTGATCTCGGCGACGATTTTCCTCGATCATCGTAATCACTAGCGTTTCCAACGTTCGTGACTCTCCGCTCGCGTTGTCCTGCACCCGCAGTGGTGGGGGTTCGTATCGGTGATTTTGACCTGAGCTCGTGTTCGCACTCACGTCGAGACTCATGTCACTGCTCGCTCCTGACCCTGGACGCCTGACGGTCGTCGACGCTTGCCTCGAGTTTTGGCCTCTGCCCATTGAGCCGTTCAACGAACTCGGTCGTTGAGATCGCTGGAAGGATCGCCAATTCGGTTGTTCGTTCGTCAATCCGCGTTGGAACGCACCAAAAGTCGCTGCTCCTCCGAAAACTGCGTTTGGAGCAGGTTTCTTCTCGGGGTTCATCCTCTTTTTTTGAATACTTGATTAGAATCCCTCTTCTGAATTGTTAAATAACGCTGTGCCAGGGAAGGTTCTGGTTGAC